AATTCATTTTAATTCTGAAACTGAGGAACAGTTAATTTTGAGGTGCAGTGCTAGAGCACTTGCCATGCTATGTAGAGCATTTTGAATTCCTTGGTAACTGCTCAGATAAATCTGTACACCTTGTGTCTTGTGGTGCCTCAGGATGCTTTGGTAGATGTGTAAACTTTCATCCTCAGTAATGGCCATGCATATAGATTACAAACCTGCAGTAATACAGAAGGGTTGGGGAAGAAAAAGCCAAAAGAATTAAATATTTGCTTTCTTGTCTGCTCACAGTATTAGTGGCACACAAAAATGGATATAACAAGTTTGCTGAGTCTACTGACTGTTGAATGAGCTCTTTGTGAACAAATGCAGAGTGATCTAAAGTCTGGGCAATAAGTGTTGAAAGTGATATATTGATCTGAAATACTTAATTATATGCAAGAGATGAGTTCAGACTTCTGATAGGAATTATCTGCCTCTTCTCTGCAGCTTGCCACTTGTGGTATAAAAAAAAATAGAGGATGTCAGGAAAAAAAAGAGAGATTTCTAAGAGATAATGAATGTTTCACCCACATTTGATTCTGGCTACAGAATAACAGACATGGAAAGGACCTTGGAAGTCTTATAGTCCAACCCCTTGCTCAAGTAGGAAACTCTAGACCATTTCAGAGAAATGGTTGTCCAATTTCTTCTTAAAAACCTCCAGTGCTGTACAGCATCCTTAACTATATCCACCATGACTCTATGAGGAACAGTTGATTTGAACTGCAGGGCTAGACCACTTGCCATGTCATGTAGAGCACTTTGACTTCCTGATAACTGCTTAGATAAATATGTACACCACATCTTGTTTCTTATGATGCCTTAGAAACTTTGATAGATGCTGAAACATTTATTTATTTATTTATTTATTTATGAGACTTATATACCGCTTGTTTCAGTAATGGCCATGCTGTACATGTAACTAACATGATTAGCTCTGAGAGAATATAAACTTAGGAAAAAAGCCTACTCCAATAATAATAATAATAGTAATGATGATGACATTATTAACTAACCCAGATGTCCTATTAGTAGTTAACCCATTTATAACAATCTTTCCATTTTTTTTCCCTTTAGAAAAATGAAGGAGGAAAAGCCTCGTACCTTATCTTTGCCTTCTATCCCAAACCCTTTTCCAGAACTCTGTAGTCCCTCAAACTCACCTATCCTCACCAGCTCCACACTGGGGCCAGGATCACAGCGTGAAGGTGGCTCTCATGTAAGTGTATCTATTTGCATTTGGGGAAAGAGGAAGATGACCCAGGGCTATATCAATTTGATTTGACTTATCTGGGAAAAGCTAAGGCTCCTAGATAATCCCAGGATAAAGACTAAACTGCAAACCAAGAAAATATTTCAGAAGAAGACCATGAGTATTCAAGAAAATTTCATGGACATATGCACAAAATCTTTAGGGATTGAACTCTTAGGAGAAACTCATTTTACAGGTTCTTTTTTTTTTCAAAGCTGGAGTGAAATAGAAGCATAGTAAACTTGCCTCTGAAGAAAGGCCTAAGGGATCTTTCCCTCTCATCACAACTACACACAAATGAGTTTGCTCTGCCAAGTTTAGAGTAGCTTCTCCCAATGTGATAGCCTGTACAAATGATTGATTTCAATTCCATATGTTCCTTTTGAAAGGAACCAGTTTCAGGGAGTTTGTTTTTGAGTCTTGCAATTCAGAGATGATAAAAAGTATACCAAGGTACATTTTGGCAGCTCTACAAAAAAAAAAGGGCAGTCATGTATAAAAATTGAGTGAAAATTGCCTGCTGGCCTACAGTAAGAATGAGCTATAACTAAATAATCTGACAAGGTATTATAATTGGCTAGGTTCACACATTGTGCAAATTTATTTCTTTTTATTTTGCTTCATGCAACATATGAATCCAGGTACTATTTTTAATCAACCATTTTTAAATAAATAAATCATTTAGCATATCAAGTTGAGATTGGAACCTCCTCAGTTTGGAGATCTCTTGTAATATTTCCTTATTTTTCTATGTTTGTTTCAATTTTTCAGTATCTTTATAAATACTGTAATTCTGTTTTGTTGTTAATTCTAAAAGCTCTCGGAAATTCTTTGTTAACTTCCATCCTAACACAGTGAGTTGTGAACTAGCTAACCATGCTTCAGCCAGCCATGTTGCAAAAAAATCAACCAATCACTCCTTCGGTCTCCTTGAAATATCCATCAAAATGATTTGTTTTTAGAATATCATTACAACATAATCTGAGTCTTCTCTATTCTTAAGAGCTGACAGTTGAACCCATAGCATTCAGCGTTACCCATTTTTTTTCCTCTTCCATAAAGTATGGATAAAAGGAACAGTCAAGGGGAAATTACAGCTTTGGACTCTGAGTTCATAGGACAAGATATGGTGAGGCTGGTTCCCTTAGATATTGTTGCCAGGATTCTCAGGTTTTGTTTAACTAGCCTGGGAGCCTCTGCTGAGAGTCTTTAATTATGGGATGGAAGGCTTCCAGCTGCTTTTTAAGTATTGGAGTTCATTTGATGTCTCTTTGGTTTCTTATCTAAAGATATGCTTTAAAAAAAGGACTTTGATGTGAGGCAGAGGCAGGCTAACAAATCAGCTGATAATCTCCTATCAGCTGGTTCATTAGCCTGCCTGTGCCTCACATCAAAGAACTTTTTTTTAAAGCATCTTATTCTTGCTATCTTGTTATGATTCCTAATAGAAATTGTAATAATATATCTTTATTAAATAAATAATCCACATTTATATCACAACAAATAGCAATAAAGTCTATGGTGAACTTAAAGAGACAACATCAGAACTGCATTAAGAAAAAGTGGCAAGCCTATATCCACTTACTATCATCTAAGAAGGACTTTCTAGATATACCCCAAAGAAATATTGCTTAAAATTTAAAAACTCATTTTATCTCCATTATAAGATTCCCATTTGTGTTTCAAATTTAAATTATTTCATGGAGAGAGGCTAGTCTTTCTTTCAATTTTATATAGTAATTCTGATTAATATAGTGCCCTTTTCAGACTGGTATCCTCAAGTGTTACCATGTGAAGAGTTTTTGACATTATATTGTAACTGATTGGATTTATTGCTTTCAGTGAAAGTTATTGATCCAGATGACCATTTCAAATTTTAAAGGATACTTTCGCTCCATTTCAAATGTGGGAACTGATTTCATCTCCATTGCCTTTAAAATGACATATTAAATTGTCCAGATCAGTAACTAGTGTTCACAGAAAACTCCATATATCATGAATGGTAGTACAGTAATTTAATATGGAATATAGAAGAGCATGGAAAGTAGTGGCCAAGTTGTCTGTGATAAGAACCCACAGATTGAATTTAGAAAGTAATACTGAAGATTTTTTTTTCACAATTAGAAAACACATTGATTTCACACTCTCTTCATTTTTATTTCCAAGTACTAAGGCACAGACAAGATGTGATGAAGCCACCATGCATTATTCATCTCTGAAAGTGACCAGTTTTTATAAACTAAACACTTCTCACTTTCTCATCTGATCCCTATACTTTTGTATTAACAGAAGTTTCATTTGCAGTCTTCAGTGCAGCAGTGGGAAAACAGTGATTCTCCAAATATTTCTGAAGTATAACTTCTAGCAACTTCAATCTTGTAGAAGCAATGGGAACTAAACAAGAAGCAATGGAAGTTACAGGTTACACCCCCCCCCCCGATGATTTTTTTTTTTAACCTGCAAACTATTAAACCAAAACCAAAGATGCCTTTCACTCAATGATTTCTATTGATCAAGGTGTTATTAAAGTTGTAATAGCCAAAGGCAATAATTTGAAAATTATTGGAAAATAAGCTAGGTGTACTCTTTCTGGGCTACAAAAAGCTGATGGCCACTAGATAACAGTCACAGAAAACTCTAAATCTTTGCTACCATCCAATGATTACTTATTTTTATAGCTTATATATTACAGCCCTCATAAATTAATACATTCCATAAGTGCATAATCTCTTCTTTCCAAAGATTAGTGCTTAGTGCTAGTGGCAAAAACTGCTTTATTTCTTATTTGTTTGTTGTATTCTAAATGTTTCTCAGACTGCTTTTGCATGGATCAGTGGACATTGGTTGCCTATTAACCTCCAGCCATCAATGCTAATTTAAACAATAATTTTCTAGATCTCAGTGCAATTAAAGGCATACCTTTAGCTAATGTAATAAACTAAGACATAGCACCCACTACTTATGTAGTATGGCTGTTAAAATCTAATATTTCTCATGGAATTTAAATTACTTTTTGTAGCTGCCAAGTCTTTGCAAAAAGGATGCCTTTCATCTTAAATACCTGCAAGGAATGTGCAGTGTTGCTGCTGTTGCAAGTTTGGTGGCATACCTTTGGGAACTTGTGCAAAAGTGACTCACCAAAGAACTATAGAAATCCCTTTGGTATAGCCCTCACTGGTTTGGAACTTTGTTTGCCCTAAAATCTTCATGGCAATGGGAATTTTTTATAGAAGTTATCAGTTCACTAATGTATAAACATTATTTTGCACATTGTATAGCGATACGTTATCAACAGTAACACCAACAGAAATCATAAGAGCAAAAGCAGCATTAAAAATTAAATTTTGAGATATCCATTGACTGATGCCCAGAAGAGCTTTGGGATAGTAAAGGTAAAAACTCCTTGGCTCCTGGTGACTATGTATCTAGTACAGTGGTTCTCAACCTTTTTAATGCCGCGACCCCCAACCGGTCATAAGTCGAGGACTACTCAACCGGTCGTAAGTCGAGGACTACTCAACTGGTGCAGCACCGTTTGCAGAATGGGACTTTTGGCGGGCTCAGCAGGGCAGAGACAGCCTGGACAATTCCTATTGGCCTTTGAAAGCCAATAGAATTAGACTCTATTCAAGAGAGTCTAATTCTATTGGCTTTCAAAAGCCAATAGAATAAAAGGGAGTAGCACAGCTAAGGAAAAGGGGGGGGGGGGAAATGGTGGACTGCGTTGTTTGGCGACCCCCGTGAAATGGTCGTTTGACTCCAAATGGGGTCCCGACCCACAGGTTGAGAACCACTGATCTAGTAGCTTTCTTGGCAACAGTACAGAACTATATGTCTTCACCTTTTTCTGGAGTGTTTTTTTAACTCCCCCATCTAGCCTAAACGCTGGCATTTCCTGGTGATCTGTATTCAAATACCGGTACTAAAAATGATCACTTGTGAAGCAGAAATAACCACCTTCTGCTTGATGACTCCAAATATGTAGATGGAGATACCTGTCAATAAAAGGAAGAGATGCTGAGATAAAGGCCAAAATGGTAAAAGGAAACATGGTTGGAACAAGGGAAATGCTGGATCTGACCCAAACTTAGCTATGTTAAGCCATATGTGTTGGAGGGAGGAATGTCAGCAACATTCAGATGTAACTTCATGCCTTTATAAGGACATTTACTTATGACATTCTGCCTTTCACTTATGATCAAGATAGATAGAATATCAAGCCAGCAACTGTTGTCAATCTTGTCATATGCTTGGGAAAAAACATGATACTGAGAAAATAATAATGATAGTCTGATAATTCAACTACTAGCATCTTGAAGATGGATTTTTACTAGATGAACTAGAGCCCTGTTCTTTAAAGGGATTGTGCCCTGCTTTATTAATAGCTTTTATACAAACACAAATATAGAAGAGTTGAAATGTAAACAAAATAATTAAATGGACATCAAATATATTTAATAATACAAACTGAGTGTTTACCACAATTCAGAAGAAGTTTTCTTACTTCTTTTCTTCTCAAATAGCCTGGAAATTTGAATTTAATTGTGGAGGAATCTTTAAAAGACACACATCCCATCCCATCTCTTTTTTAAGGCTTAAAATGAACCTTAAGAATCTCTTTTGAATATCATGTTTATATAAAATAATAATAAAGAGAAAATCTAAATATATGTATAATATATTTCCCCTTCATCATCAGGAATTAGAATGCAAGACTATCAATAATTATGAGAACTTGTTTTGGATACTCTCATTTAATAAACTGAACAGTATATCCTTAATTATCTTTAAGCATAATATATTTAACTGAATTACTCGTTACTTGAATAACAGATTTACTCCCTCTTGTGGAATAACTGGATTGTAGCAGAAATATTTCAGAACTGACTAATTTATAAGAACATAAAATCAGGGCTGGGTCATTTGACTCTTAAACATCTTGTTTCTATCAGTAGTCAACCAAACTTGTAGGAGAAATGTAGGAGATGGGAAAGCAGCATCTTTTCCTATTTTTTGATTGGTGGTTGCCATCGTGCATGATATATGGAGGTATGTAAGTCTTGAACAGGTCATTTTGATACACATGTAAATCAGGTTGTAATAGCTAATGGTAAATGAGCTATCTGAAACAATCTGGACATTTGAAAAACATAGAATATATTGTTGAAGAATTTATCCCTCTGTTTTCTGAACAAGCTGATAGAATCCTTTACATTGCTGAGGGCTCTGAGGTTTTCCTTGGTGCAATAGTTTATTCATACTTACTATTCACTGAACTTGGTAGTCATGACTTTTCAATGGATGATCATGTTGGAATCACCATCATGGCTAAAAATAAATGAATGTGTCTCTTTTGGTTCCTTCAACTTTCATATTTTTGGACCACATAATCATTTTTTAATGATTTTTTAATAAGATGTCTGTATAATGAGGCACATATCTTAGTATATCCTTTTTTAGTATGTGTTTTCCCCATGATAGAATTCTAGATGCACATTTTGTGGTTTGTTGAGAGCTACATTGCAAAATTCAGAGAACTTTCTTACCAATGTGTCAGTTTGCATATGAATTTGACAACCACCAGTTAGATGGGTTCTTCCATCTGTAGCTGATTGCAGAGATTATGTCAAGCAGGAAAAAACTGAACCCTAAGAATGAAGTACAAGCTATATTAATTATATTGAAGGTTTTTTTTTTAAACAGGATAAAAAATTACAACTTTAAAGGAAAAGTAAAGGATAAGTGAATAAGTAAAAAATAAAAGAGAAAATACAGAAAAGATATAAAAAGAAAAAAGATATAAACAAATGACTTTCAATTTTCTTTACAACAGTTATACATGCATTTATATTTTATTCTTTATAGCTATATCATGGCTCCCTTCTTTCCATATCCTATCCTTTCTCCAGTACAGGAGATGGAGAATCCACCGATGGGTTTTCTCTGTCTGCCTGCTCTTGAGACCAAGTAGCCAAATTTGACACGCCCCCTCTTGCCAGGGGCTCCATTCTTAACTTGGTCTCAGCTCTTGCAGACTCATGTTGGCTTGGCTCTCAGAGATTTCAGGTTAGTCAGAGCAATTCATTGGTGGATTCTCCCTAAATTATTGGCTTTTAAATTGGCTACCTTCTTTTAACAATTTCCCCACAGGCACTGAGATCATTTGTGATCTCAAGTTATTTAAAAGGTGGGGTGTGTGTGGGGGAAATTCCTCCAGCTTCCCATCCCTTTCCCAGGGCTCTGGTGGGGGGGGGGGAAGGAACCAGCAGAGACTACTTGCTGTGCCTTTCTCCCCAGCTCCCAAGGGTTTTTCCCCCAGTTTTTGGGGAAAAATAGCAAGCTCCAGACTCGGATTCAAGTTGAATCCGAATCACCGGAGCTCACTCCAGCAGCCCAGGGCAAACGCAGGCGCCATTTTGGTTGCCCTTGCAGACAAAGGAAGCTGAAGGGAAGCTGATTTTATTCAGCCAAATCAAGCCCCAGAGCGGCGAAATCGCAGCACACACCCAGCGCTGCATCCACCACCACCCCTAACACCAAAAAACACAGAAAGGCTGCGGAGCCCGTTTTTGGAAGGAAACGGGCCGCGGCTGCCATTTTTCAAGCCCCAAAAGTAAACGGAGCCTTTTTTTCCTTTTGGCAAGGCTCCTGGCAATAGGCAGCTGGGGGGGGGGTAGGCTCCGGAAGAAAGCTGACCCAGCATCGCAGCGCGCGCCCCCAAAAGCTGCGGATCCATGGATGCCATGTGAGGCCCTCTAGGCCCATGAGGCCTACCTCGCTGTAGGCGTGGCCTAGGGGGAGCCACGTGGTAGGCCAGGCACAGCAAGTCATATAGCAAACCATAGCATCCATATATAGCATCTTGACGAATGGGACTTCGTCGAAACGTCGCCAAGACACTTCCAATTTTACGCAGGAGAAAACCTGAATAACCAAAGACCTACACACACACACACAGAGACACACACACACCACACACACACACACACACACACACACACACACACACACACATATATATTCTGAGGTTTTCGCGGGTGTTTGTATGTAGGTCTTTGGTTGTTCGGGTTTTCTGCCGCGTAAAATTGGAAGTGTCTTGGCGACGCACGAAGCTGAAAACACCAGCCTGAAGATGACGAATGGGACTTCGTCGAAATGTCGCCAAGACACTTCCAATTTTACGCGCAGAAAACCCGAACAACCAAAGATATATATATATATATATATATATATATATAGATATATATATATATATATATATATACATACATACATACATACATACACATAAAAAAACCACAAGGCTATCAAATCAAATATAAATCGGGGGGGGGGGAGCCTGTAACCTCCTTCAGTCTTGGTAGCCACCATTTGATACCCTTTACTGACCACCTCAGGCCTTCAAACCTCCTCGAGGTTGCCCTGATCTTTTTGCCTTTTTCTTTTACTGGTGCACACTGCCTGGTCACCTAAGGCCTCCAGGCGGAGCCCAGAGAGTGGTTCCAAACGTGCCTTCGGTACCGTGCCTTCGGTACTCCGTGACCGTAGCCCAGAGAGAATTTTTTATTGGTCTGGTGATCAGGGGGGCAGTCTCAGTATTTGCTCCAATCTCGCTTCCACCAACTACTTGCCTGCCAGAGCTTTTTCTCAGCGCTTCTTCCTGAGATTGCTCTAAAGGGATGGAGGGATCCTCGTTGCCTCAGTCCTTGGGCATGACCTCTCCACCTCCCAATTATGGCTGCAACGCTCCTTCTGGCCAGAAGGCGGCAGGCAAGTGCAAAACCAAGACCAAGCACACGCTTAAGAAACCCTCCAAGTTGGCGGAAAAGCAAGCCAGCCGTAGGCACCAGGTCCTGGAGAAGGAGTTCTCCACGGCGCAGAGGCAGGCCCAATTGGATTTGGATCAAATGGCGACCACCGAGATGGAACTACCATTGGGCTCATCAACATCGACACAGGGAGTATGGTCCATTCCGGGATCTCCGCCACCACTAGGCTCGCCCAGCATATCGGCCCAACAAACAGCCACTGTCACAGGTACTCCTACCTTGTCACCCCCTACTACTGTACTCAGGGCCCATGACAGAGGGGATATTTTTTCAGACAGAGGTCTGGAGGCTCTGTTAACCAAAGTGGTGGACCGCGCTTTATCGCAGCACTCGGTCCAACACGATCAGGGAGCCCACACCTTGACCACACCATCTCTTGAACTCCCCACAGAGATCCAGGCTATCCAGGAGCCTGCATCTCCAGCCCATTGCTCCATGAGTGGTTACTCCTCTCCTCAAGAGGAGGAGCCACTGAAAATCACCTTGTCTGAGGATGAGGAACTTCCCCCTGAACCATCCCCATTGGGAGGTCTATTTAATCCCAATCTATTTCTCACGATCTTTCACAAGGCCATGTCCACTGCGAACATAGGGGCTGAACAGTTCCCTCAACCGCAGGTGACAACAGGCACCACGTCCAGGCCGATATTTTTTGCCAAGGTGACAACGGAACAACACGTGCCTTGTCCCGACATTTTCCTGCAGGAGATCAAGAAACAATGGAATTCTCCTTCCCTCCCCTCGGTGAGTGGCACGGACAAGAGGATGTACAACACATCCTCAGACCTCAAGGAGGCACTAGAGATTCCCAAGGTGGACGAAGCCTGGACACCCTTGGTTTCCCAGACAGCTGTTGCGGGGGACCTAATGGAGGTCCTCAAAGCTGATGACAAAAGGTGGGAGCAAACCTTCCGCAAAACTCATCAGTCAGCGGCATGGGCCATCAAAGCGGCCACCTTGGCCTCCTTCTTTGTTCGGACTACCCTCCTGTGGTTACAACAACTACAGGCCAGGGTCCCGGCTGAGGACTTGCGTACTCATCAGGACCTGGCCAATATGGTGGCAGCCATGGAATATGCTGCAGATGCAACACTCCAATCGGCCATCTTCTCCTCTAGATCCATAGCGTCCAATATAATCACCAGAAGGATGCTATGGCTAAAACACTGGCAGGCTGACACCAAGGCTAAGTGGCGCCTAGCGACTGCCCCCTATTTAGGCGGCAATTTGCTTGGGGAGGCCTTGGCTCCTTATCTCATTGAGAATAAGGACAAATATAAGGTCATGGCTCACTTAAACAAAAAATCTGACAGATGTCCCGCGCCTTATTTTCGGAGGCAGCCCTTTCGCCAAACGACAACCGCACCTCTCAATCAGAACGCAAAAACATACACGACCAGGCAGGACAGACCATACGACCGTCCCTATGACAGACCAGGGTTCAGATCCAGGCAACAAAATCAGACTAAGCGGTCCTTTCGTGGAACGGGCCACCCCTACCAGAAGAACAAATGACCCTTACCCCGACCTCCCCATTGGAGGAAGACTAGCCCATTTCTTCCATCAGTAGGAACAAACCTCCACGGACAACTGGGTACTGCATACCATCCAGTCCGGGTTGTCCCTGGAGTTTCTGGTCACACCTCCAGACCAATTCAACATCTGCTCAGTTTCCAGGGACCCCATAAAACGCAGACTTATGCAGGAGGCCATCCAACATCTGTTGGATATTCAAGCCATAGAACCTGTTCAACCAGAATACAGAGGCAGGGGATTTTACTCCATCCTCTTCGTGGTCCCCAAGACCTCAGGAGGATGAAGGGCAATCCTGGACCTCAAAAATCTCAACCGATACATAACATACAAAAAATTCAAGATGCAATCCCTCCAGTCCATCCTGGGAGGCATCAGACAGGGCGACTTCTTGGCATTGATAGATCTCACGGAAGCCTATCTTCACATCCCCATTCATCCATCTCATTGCCGGTTTCTACGCTTCTGTTACGGAGGCAAACACTTCCAGTACAGGGCCCTCCCCTTCGGTCTCTCCTCAGCACCAGGGTGTTTACAAAAATACTGGCGGTAGTAGCTGCAAAACTCAGAAAAATCCCAATATGCGTCCAATGTTATCTGGACGACATCTTGATTCAAGCAACTTCCCTCCAGGTGGCTCAGGCGGACGTAAGGACCGTTATCTGCGTCCTTCAGCAGCATGGGTTCTCAGTAAACTTCCAGAAGAGCCAGACAGCTCCCTCACCCAGGCTACTGCATCTGGGAGCCATCATAGACACATCCAACTGCATGGTCTACCTCTCCCAGGAGCGAGTGGTCAGCATCAGGGAACTGGCTTGCCAGGTATACAAACAACACACAGTTCCCCTGGTAACACTATCCCATTTGTTAGGCAAGATGGTCTCCTGCATAGCCATAGTCCCCTGGACCAGGCTTCATTTGCGGGACCTACAGTGGTTCCTCCTGCCATTCCAATGACAGAATACCAGCGCATCAAACTGCCTAGCTCGGGTTCCGGCGCATATTCGCAGGGCGCTCCGTTGGTGCTCTTGGGCAGTGACCAAGGGGTCACCCTTTAAGGAACCAGCCAGCCTGTACGGTTGGGGAGCCCATCTACTCTCTCACTTCGCGCAGGGACATTGGTCCGCCGCAGATCTGAGGAACAACATCAACTGGCTAGAGCTCAGGGCAATCCATCTAGCCCTACGACACTTCAGACACAGAATCAGGGGCCGCCATGTCCTAGTCCTTACAGACAACGTGGCAGCCAAGGCACACATCAACCGTCAGGGGGGCACCAGGTCCAAAGCCCTCATGACAGAGGCACGGCTCCTGTTCACCTGGGTAGAGCCCAGACTGGAGTCGCTAAGGGCGGAACACATCTCGGGGTCAACAACCTGCAGGTGGACTTTCTGTGTCGTGCCACAATGGACCCCTCAGAGTGGGGGCTACACCCGGACCTGTTCTCACACATCTCCCACAGGTTTGGTCAACCGATCCTCGACCTGTTCGCATCGTCAGACAATGCTCAACTTCCCAGATTCTACTCCCACTATCTCAATCCAGGGGCGGAGGGGACGGACACATTAAGAGTTCAATGGCCACAAGGCCTACTTTACGCCTTTCCCCCACTTCCGCTTATACCGGCAGCCATCCGCAAATTGCTACACGAGTGAGCGGAGGTGATTTTCGTGGCACCACACTGGCCACAGAGACCATGGTTCGCAGACCTGATGAACCTGTCTCAATCAACCCCGTGGAAGATCCCCTCCCACCGAGTGTCCCTACACCAAGGAGCCATCTGTCACCTGGACCCTCAATGGTTGCAATTGACTGTCTGGCACTTGAGCGCCGCGTAATGACACAGGAGTTATTCTCTCCTCGTGCCATTACCATGATTCAGGCTGCACACCGTCCAGCGACCAACCGCATATATGATTCCACTTGGAAAAATTTTTGCCTTTGGTGTAGGAGGCGGCAGTCTTTTAGATGGACTGGACAGAGGCCTCACCCCGGCGACTATTTGCAGGCAGGTGGCAGCTCTGTCCACTCTTCTCACGTGTGAGGATTCGGTTCCCTTAGCTCACCATCCAAGGGTTCGTGCCTTTATCAAGGGTGCGTTTAACACCAGACCCCCAGTGTTACACAGATACCCATCTTGGGAATTGCCGCAAGTACTTCGCACTCTCATAGGATCGCCCTTCGAACCACTGGGGACCGTTTCATTACGACACCTGTCTCTAAAGGTGGCATTCCTGATCGCCATCACATCGGCTAGGCGAATTTCTGAGCTGTGGAAGGTGCAGGAATGACCTCTGCACCTTCCACAGTGATAGGGTGGTCCTTAGGCTAGATCCCTCCTTCATCTCAAAGGAGAACTCTCTGTTTCACAGGGCACAAGAAATTGTTCTCCCAAACTTTTGCCCAAACCCGACACATGACCAGGAGCAGCAGTGGCATACATTGGACGTACGCAGGGCATTGCGACGTTACATAAAACGTACGGAGCCTTTCCGCAAGTCAGAGGCCCTCTTTGTGTCCTTCAGACCGGGTACTCTGGGGTGTAACGTTTCCACCGGTACCATTGGAAGGTGGATCCGGACCTGTATCACCGAGGCATACCAAGCCTCATCTCTGCCGCCTCCAAGTCATCTCACTGCCCATTCCACTCGAAGTGCTGCAACCTCGGCGGCATGGGCCACTTAGGCGTCCATCGAGGAAATTTGTAGGGCCGCGACATGGTCATCACCTTCCCTGGTTGTTTCCTAGGCTAATTACAAGATCGACCGTTTCGTTTTGGCGGACGCCTCCTTTGGTAGGAGGGTCCTCCAGCAAGTGATCTCCTAGGACACCCTTCCGGCCGTATCTGTCTCCCACCCATCGGGACAGAGAGGCTTTGGTATGTCCCATCAGTGGATTCTCTATCTCCTGTACTAGAGAAGGGGCATTGGTCTTACCTGAACGCCTTTTCTCAGTATGGAGATGGAGAATCCACACCCACCCTAAGGTCAGTTAGGCCGTTATTAGGGAACTGAGAGCCAATATCTCGTCAACCTTCAGCCACTTCGCCCTCGTTAAGAATGGAGCCCCTGGCAAGAGGGGGCATGTCAAATTTGGCTACTTGGTCTCAAGAGCAGGCAGACAGAGAAAACCCATCAGTGGATTCTCCATCTCCGTATTGAGAAAAGGCGTTCAGGTAAGACCAATGCCCCTTCTGATTGAGAAACCCATAAATTACCAGTTCATTTTTCCATTTTGAGAAAAAAGACCATGAAGGGTTTCAAGTCACTGATAAATGTGTTTGTTATCTTTTCCCTAATCAAGCAAGTCAATTTTTGCCATTTTGCAAATTCTGTCATCTTCACTAACCTTCTTTATGTGTATTTCAAAGTCTTTCTTTCTTTGTGTGAATAATATTTTTGCTGCCGTACCATTCTCAAAGAATGAAGTACGAGTTATTGTATATTGTTATTGTTTAGAAGTTTCTTTTAAAAACTTAGAAAGAAAAACCAGGAAATTGGAGTAATGAATTGTATGTCAATTTAAGAATTCTTAAAAGTTGTTCTTATAATTTTGCTCACAGAATTGAACAGGCCAGTCCTTTTAAGTGTTTGAGCATATTCTTATTCTTCTTCTATTCTCACAGGTAGTAAAAGTTTACAGTGAAGATCATACTTGCTGCTCTTTGGAAGTCACAGCAGGGACCACGGCCCGTCATGTTTGTGAGATGCTGGTGCAGAAAACCCATTCTTTGCATGATGACTGCTGGTCTTTAGTAGAGGTCTATCATCACTTATCTCTAGGTGAGGAGGAAAAGGAAAAAAAGTACAGACTACATGCATTCACATCCACAAACACACATTCTGTCAGATATATCCAGGAATGTTTTTACAAATTAAAAAAGAACTTTTTGCAACAAGAAGCAAATACGCTCAAGTGTTCCCTTTTTGGGGGCCCAGGTTGTAAACCTGTTCTGCTATTGGTTCCATGTAAAAGGATGCTTCACCATATAAAATAATTTCTAGGACCTAAATAGCTAGAGTATCAAGGAGAAAATATTATGTATTTTCTATATAGAGGAAATCAAAACTCCTACGTAATTTCCTTACCTGAAATCTAAAATGTTCACTTCAGAGACTGTTTGGGGAAAACTTGATTACAAAGTGAGATCAGATAATTGAACATGATGACTCTCAGATTTTTCCAGTTGCTTGTCTGTATGCATTTAGCATCTAGAAAAGACCTTCTGAATGTAGATATGATATTAATGTAGTGTATTTTTTTCTCCCCTTGTTTTCTCCAGAGCGGATCTTAGAAGATCATGAGTCTGTGGTAGAGGTTCAGGCCACATGGCCTGTGGGAGGTGACAGTCGGTTTGTCTTCAGGAAGAATTATGCTAAATATGAGTTGTTCAAGAGCTCACCAGTAAGTTGGAATAACCTTAAAGATAGCAACAAATATCAGTTCATTCCTGTAATTTGCAGTTATTTCATTTTTAAACAATTCCAACTTTCAGAAATGAAATAGCGTTTCCTGATGCCATTGTTTAGTAAAAACTCTGTCTTTCACATCTATAATGTTAATCCCAAAAATAATGATTCTCAAAATGTGGTCCACCAGTAATCCATAACTGCTTCCTTATAACACTTGGTTATTTTGTGAAAATAGATCAGTACAGAAACTGAAAACTGGTTCACTGAAGCAAAGAAGTGATAATAATATAAGTAACATGCGTACTATATTCCAGAAAACCTATTTACCTCCTCCCCAAAGTGAGCTTCCATGCTATTAAAATACAAATTGTTGGAAGGATATGTTTGTTTCATTGGGCAGTGCTCATACTTTAAAAATATTTATTGAATTGTTCATGATCGAAGAAAATTTGAGAAGCATGATTCTGAAAATATTCTTTCTACAGAAACCATTGTTTTGTACCTTTTATACTTTATGATCAAATGTATGCTTCAGAAAATTATTAACTTGCTCTAAGATGGCAATCTAATTTAATAATCATTCCTTTTATATTAGGTATTGGAAGAATTATAGAGAGCCAGTTTGATGTATTGGTTAAGGCACCAGGCTAGAAACCAGGAGACTACAAATTATAGTCCCTCTTTAGGTACAAAGTTAGTTGGGTGACATTGGACCAGTCATACACTCCTAGGAAGAAGGCAATGGCAAATCACTTTTGATAAATCGTGGCAAGAAAAGTCCAGGGATTAGTCCAGGTAGTCAACAGGAATCGATACTGACTCATAAATACCCCACTCCACCAAAATAAGTAAACATAAAATAACATTTGTGGAAACATGAAAGCCAAACTTTTACAATTTTAGTAGGGGTTTCCTCTAGAAGTATAAGCACAATAAACTTTTTTTAAAAATCTAAAAATAAATGCACAATTTAGTATTCAGACTGCTTTTCCCCTTTGGTATTAAAACAATATGTTTAAGAACACCATGATAGAGTATATGACAATCCAAATTCATGACATTATCCTGATTTTCTTTCCCATCATAGCAATCAATATTTCCTGAAGTTATGGTCTCTGGATGTCAGGATGCAGCTAATAAAGGCATGTCCCACCTAGAACTCATACAGGTAATTATCTTTTCCCTTTATCTAGGCAGCAAGTAATCTTTTTGCACATTTATACATACATGCATACATATAGGTACATACATGTGTTTGGGTGTGTGTGTATCTTCAGAAGCTTCTGTTTGTGTGTGCATGCACATATTTATATTCATTAGGCTTAAATATAAACCTTATGAACTCTCAAGCTTCCTCCTTCTGTTATATATTCAAGATGGACAGTGTTTAATATTCATATGTTATGTATATGTAGGGATGTAGGTCTATACATATGTTGTATATACCGTAGTATGTATGTGTATATGTATATGTGTGTGTGTGTGTGTGTGTATAAAATTGGAAGTGTCTTGGCGATGTTCCAGCCTGAAGATGACGAATGGGACTTCGTCGAAACATCGCCAAGACACTTCCAATTTTACACAGGAGAAAACCCGAATAACCAAAGACCTACATACAAACACCCATGAAAACCTCAGAAAACATATATATATATATAATAATTATATATATATATATATATATATATATATATATATTTATATATATATATATATATATATATATATGTTTTCTGAGGTTTTCGCGGGTATTTGTTCCTTTCAATTACGTGTTTCTCCTCATCCATTTTTTTGCCTTCTTTCAACTCCGGGGTAGTTAGGTGAGGGTCTCTATTACTTCGATGCTTCCTATATGCTTCCTAAGGGACCCTCACCTAACTACCCCGGAGTTGAAAGAAGGCAAAAAAATGGATGAGGAGAAACACGTAATTGAAAGGAACAGAAAAAAACAAATCAGCCCTAGGCAATTGGACCAACTAGCCCCGATGACGAGGTCGAGGAGCCGCGCGCAGGCAATGACATACCTATAAAGAGACTCTCACTTCCTGGCGCACCAGCCCTGAGGATGCCGGCAGGTGACGGCGAAAGCTTGGCGCTTTTTTAATTAAATCTTTTATAGTTTTTAATATTACCCTGGTGCTCATTTTATTTCTTATCATGAATACTCCCAGGGTTCATGTTTTTAAACTTCTCAAGCATATATATATATATATATATATATATATATATATATATATATATATATATATATATATGTATGTATATATGTTTATAGTATGTTTAGATGTGTGTCATGTATGTTCACTTTGAGAGCGGGCAACTAAATTTCATTTTTGATGTGTGTCATTGTGCCCACACTAAAAAATGGCAATAAAGGTTATCTTATCTTATAAAGTTATGTGTATAAATTTATTTTACTCTTTATCTGAAGTATTTTTTATGATATAATGTAAAATTGAAAATAAAATTTTTTTACAAAAAAAGTTATCTTAAATGCTGCCTATAGATCTAGTAGTAAGATTATATAGATTAATAGTAAGATTAAAACAATGTTAAAAAGAAATTCTATAGATAGAATCACAACAAATTTCCCAACACTGAGGAGAAATTATTCAGACAAATATTCATTCTCTAGAGGGAATGAGACAAAGACTACCCTTCAAATCCCAAATATAGGCTTCTGAAGATCATAGGAGGTGTGATTGTGATTTAGTGATATCACAGAAGGAGAGATGTGCTTTGCTACATTTTTGACATTTGACATTTAAACAACATTTTCCCCTCTTCAAAAATCATGCTACCAAATGTCTGTTTTGACAGTTTGTCACACATTTACAAGAAAAAATATTTGCAATCCAAGATGTGCAAAAAGGGAACTTGGGTCATTCCTGATTTACTCATTCAGAGTTTTTTCAGTTCCCCTTTCATTCAAAAGGAGAAAATAGAGATCTTGGATGCTTTGATACAGAAACTAGATATTGCCTCTTTATATTGGATAGGAAACAGTCAGAAATTTGCAATATAAATTATATTGCCTTAATTATTTGCTCATCATGAACAGAAGGAATATATTGTATCTGTAAAATTTTGCACAGTATGACTAAACTGTTGAAATCTTCTCTTGCAAAAGTTCATTGGCAACCAATTACAGCCAGAGAAATGAACGTATTTCTCCACACAATTTGCAATTAGATTAAAATAACCCATTGCCTTAATGTTGGATGGCTTTAAGAACAATAGACAAATTCATAAAGAACAGGAGTTTTCCAGAAATTACTTTCTAATACTTAATACTGTGTTAAATATATTATTACTTCTTATATTTTCCATTTTTTAAAATATCACTTGAACTTAAACTATGTCAACTTTTTATGGCTGGATGTTCAGCTTTTTGTTGCTAGAATGTACTTGTTTGAAAATTAAGTAAATATACCTATTGGCCTCTGAGATATGGTAGTAATTTCTGGGAGTTTGAAGGGAGTTTAAAAGATGAAAGGAGGCTTCAGACATATATTTTGTCCTTTGATTTCTCCTCTGCATCTCACTTCCAAACCCTGGAAAAACCTAGAGTTACTATATGTGGTCCACAAAAATCCATATGATCTCTAAATAGTAGCTAATAACTTGCTGCTAGGTAATCATCTAAATTTTCATAGTTCAGGTATGATAGTTCTGTGTTTTGTTTTTAATGAGGCAGAGTAGATCTAACCAAACTTGATGTCCAAAATCTGCATTTTTGCTACCAAGTTGTGATGATAACGTGACCTGGGATGCTCTTGGGCGGGGGGAGGGGGGGAGGACACAGAATGAGTAACAAAGATCACATGAGGAGGCATGCTGTATATACCTGGATTTTCAAAATACATAATACATCTTTTTTTTTTTTTTGCTTTATACCTGATGAGACAACATTCATCCCTTGATATTTAATTGCTTCAAAACTCGTTGAATTTGATACTCAGTGTGTTTTGAAGAGAAACTTTTGTCCTGGGACTCATCTTTCTCCTGGTATTTGATGCACAAGGTAGAACTTGCTGGCATCGGCTGCCTCATAACTTGTTACTCCTTCAGATTGAAATAAAGGGTCACATGGTAAGCCACATAGTTTGCTTGGTACTCATCATTTTTAGTACTTGTAGCTCCACCCTGAATGAAGTAGCAATGAGTACCAAGTTGCCACTGTAGGGTTTTGGGGTTTTTTTTGACAACCAAAACATCTTTAAGGAGTTTTAAGGAGAAAATACAGCAAAGCACACTTCTTTGTGTCAAAGTATTGATCATATTGCCTAGTTTGGTTATGAAATATTTACAAGAAGAAAACTAAGCGCAGCTAACAGGGGGATGCCAACAGGTATTTTAGAAACATTTCATATTCCCAGGGCTGCATGCTACAAATCTAAATCATGCAACACAGAACTTCTGCCATAGTTTTCCCTTCTCCCATAATTCCCCACCACTCAAAAAGAAGCAATTAGGACCACCAGTAAATTTGTAATGCAGCCTGAGTCTTTAATTCCATTTTTTTTCTTTCAGAATGTTCTAAATTCAGGAAGTTGCCCTGAAATCCAAGGGTTCCTGCATCTGAAAGAAGTTGGGCGCAAAGCCTGGAAAAGATTTTACTTTTCTCTGCGGCGTTCTGGGCTATATTACTCAACAAAAGGCATGTCAAAAGTAAGTTTGTGAGTGCAAGATATAATGGAGGATTCCCTTGTTTTTTTTCCCTATAGACACAGTTCTGAGTGTATGTTTCAACAGTTTTCCCAGAAAGGAAAACAGGATTAGGCATCAGCAATATTTAGAAGAATGATGTTTGTATGAAGCTTGATAGCAGAACCTGGTGATTTGGGACTTGATATGCCCAAGCTGAAACTGTCATACAAGTTATAGACTAATGGAATTAAAATCTATGCTTTTCAAATGCTATGGATTTCGGGAATTTGTCTAATGTATAATATGTTTAAGCCCAAGTAAAATAAGATACATACAGTAATAACTTTAATCTTTAATAATGATACAATTTGCTTTCAGCTTCTATTGGCTCAATAATTGTTATAGCCCTGTTTAAAGTATTCAATATTATTATTCTGACATTGCTAAACTGATGAAATATGAATGTTTTCTTGACTGCTATGCTCTGTTCAGAAATTAGAATCATGTATGTGTTACGGACTTGTGCACATTTTCTTTTATTTAGGACAGTGGTTCTCAACCTGTGGGTCGGGACCCCATTTAGGGTCAAACGACCATTTCACGGGGGTCGCCAAACAAGGCTGTCCTCCATTCCCCCCCCCTTTGGCCATGCCCCTGGCACCCGGTGATGTATAAGTGGTTGGGGGTCACCACAACACGGGGAACTGTATTATGGGGTCATGGCATTAGAAAGGTTGAGAACCACTGATTTAGGGAACTGAGATGGGAACTATACAAAACAATTTTGCACAGTCCTCTTGGTCCATAAAACTTTTATTATTTTTAGTAATTATGAAAGCTACTTTTTTCTAGACAGGAAAGAAAAAAAATCTTTTAATTTAGAAAGATACTTACTTTTGCATCAGATGCTTAATTCCATTCTCAGCCTTATCTAATCATGCATATACAGAATATGTCTAGAACCTAAATCCCCAGGTACAATTGGTCTGAAGTAAAATCTCATTTGTTAATACATATATATGTATGTGTGTGTGTGTGTTTTCTTGCCTCCTCTATGGTAGGACCCCCGGCATTTACAATATTGTGTTGACATAAATGAATCAGTCATCTATTATATAAGCCAAGGCAAAAAACAGTATAACACACCCACCGAATATGGCTTTTGTATCAAGGTAAGAGAAGTGAGAATTAATTTTGGGTTCATTCCACCTTTAATCTCTTAAATGATTAGGTTCATTAAAATATCCATAGAACTGAATATTAAGGATCAGGTAAAATGCAAAATGAGTATTGTTGTTCAATTGTTGTTCAGTCTATAACCCTAACTTTAACTTTGATTCTCTGGGAAGTTGTGGTTTATAAGGTTTTTCTTACAATACTAATATTTTGAGGATTCTTAATTTAAATCTCCATATCCAAATAACTACATTTATAATATGCTATTATTAACATTATTATTATTAATATCTTATTCAGCTGAGAAGAGCAGGATAAAAATATAATAATGGTAATAATTTTCTTTTAATGTTTCATTCTGTTTTGAATATCTTAAGGTTTGCTTTTAAATTCTTTTTACACAGTTTGGCTATCTATTTTACCTTTTCATTTGGTTTTTAATATCTTTGTATTTTTATAATTTTATATTTGTATATAACATTTCTCAACTACTGTAACAACTTGAATGTGAATCTCTACAAATAAAATTTAGAATGCTGACCAATATTTGAAAACTGGCAATACTTTTTCAAATTAAAACTGAAGGAATACTTCTTTTCAGAATGTATTTTAAAAAATGCCAATCTCATAGTTGTCACACGAGCCACTCTTCTATTTAAAAAAATCCTGAGCAATAACTCAGGAAGAGATGCAATAACTGGGAATAATTTAAGTTTCCTGACAAGCCCAATATAGAAAGACTAGAATTATCATTCTTTTAAGGTTGATGAAAACAAACAAACTCAGACTTCCGGTTCCGGTTCGCGGCGTCACTAGTCGTACGAGGAGACTCCTCTTCTTGTCGACTAGGTTTTCCTTCGTCTGTGGACCCTTATACAGGTCCAAAGTCACCCTGGAGAGTGTGACTTCTGTCGAGGAGGCTGCGGTCTGGCTGCGGAGGAGCGGTAGCTCCTCCAGCTGTCCGGACGAATCTCTGAGGGCTGATGGAGAAGAAGATTGGCCATGAAAATGGCCGATCGCCCTGGCGCTTCAGACCGTAAGTCAGAAAACATCTAAGCTTTGAGTGCCCCCATGGTGAATCCGGGTGAGAATTTTTTTCTTATTTTTCTCTCTATTCCGCTTTTTTCTTTGTGTGTGTGCCTGTAAAGAGCTTTTGAAATTATTTCCCTGGCTTGAAAAGGCGGCTTCTGCTTTTTTTGGGGGGGGGGGGAAGAAAGGCAGTTTACAAATACTGAAAGGCTATAAACTGGACACGAAAAAGGGAAAAAAAGAAGGAAAATGTTTCCTCTCTCCTTTATTTTTAAGAACGTTATTATTTCTACACATATTATACCTTAAAAGATAGAAAAAAAATTGATTTTTGGAAAAGACTTTCCTAACTCACTGAGGACATCTAGTGGCAAAAATTTAATATTGTAACTTTGCTTACTTTTTTTATGAACTTCAAACATTAAAGATAAGCTGTACACCTGTGATGCTGTGGGGGTAGATGTTTTTACATTAAACAAAGCCTCTACAAAAAAGAAAAAGAGATTTCCTTTTAAGAGTATTAAAATGGAGAAACCTCAGATACAACTGAACTGTGCACTTATATTGGAAAAGATTTATGAGGCCACTGCAGAAATTTGTGCTACATTTAAAAACTGTACTTTAGAATTATGATCCAGAGATTCTACTACATTTGTTCAAACTGATGTCCAGGTTACAACTGATCATGTCATAAATCAAAATGTACCAGAAGAGGAATCTACAGAGATAGAAGTGGAATTTACTTCATCTGACAATCCCCTCTTCAGCAACTTAGAGAACCAGAAGAAGCAAAGATTAAGACTTCAAAATACAAAGCAACTATATTGCAAAGAGAACAGAAAAAGACGTTTACTGCAGAGGAAGAGACCTATACTCTCTCAAAGACTACTACAAGCAATAAGAACTGATCTATTGGTTGAAAGAGAAAAAAGACGTTTACTGCAGAGAAAGAGACCTACATTTGCTCAAAGATTATTACAAGCATTGAGAATGGACTTATTGGTTGAAAGGGAAGCGTTTTTATGGAAGCCTGTGTGGCATAGAAAGAAACCCAGAATTAGATTGAAAAACAAATTTAAAAATCTTTAATGGAGTAAAAGGCATTGTTGACTTCATGGATTGTTTTGAGGATAATGATCTAGAACGGAAAAATGCAATTATATACATGCGTGTTTAAATTAGTAAAAACTGTTTAATGGATTAAAAGGCAATGTTGGTTCTATGGATTGTTTTAAGGATAATGATTTAGATTTAGAAGTAAGAAATTTACAATTATATTTATATGTGTTTAATTTAGTTTGATGACTTTTTTGTTTTATGGAAATTTGATATGGAAATATGAAAGTTAAATGTGGAGTGAAAAAAGAAACTTGGCTTTATAGAGACTAAGAATGCATTCCATGGAAAAATAGATTGATTTAGACTGGAATTTTGAAATGCTTAATTAATTAGGAGATTTTTGTCTATAATAATACGTCTTGATATGATATGATAATTAATTGGATGGAATTTGGTTTCTTTAATGAATGAAAATGAATTAAGTCAAAGACTACTATAAGTAACAAAAATGGACTTATTGGCTGAAAGGTTAAGGATAATGATTTAGATTTAGAAATAAGAAAACTATAATTATATACATGTATAATGTTTAATTACTTAAGAGATATTTGTGTATAATAATACGATTTGATAAGATATGATAATATTGTTTTTTTAATTAAACTAGTTATTATTGGAAGAAGAAATAAATAAGATTGGTGATAAAAAAGGGATGAGAGGGATTAAGAACTTGAATATATTTGCAAGAGGTATTTGAAGTGATAATATGTTGATGTAAAACACTATCTGATTATGGTAGTTGAAATTGATTTAAAGTTTTAATAAACAGGTTTAGTAGTAATAGAAATTTAGGATAGAAATGAAATATATTAAATTTACTATGTTACTTGAGGGAAACAGAGAGATGATAGTGAATGTATTAAGTTGAGCTGTTATTGTGTGATTTTATGTTGGAATCTTTGTTTACCCAAACACCACGGTGTGTTTTAAACACTTTTTGTTAAAACTATAAAACCAATAAAATATATTTAAAAAACAAACAAACAAAACAAACTCAAAAAGTAAACCAAGAACAAAACACCCTGAGAATAAATATTTTGGGCATCTAAAATCATGCTTTTAACACATTAATTTTTAAAAAAATGTTTTCTTCCATAGAATCTTGATTTGGGATGATGATTCCTGAGTCAAGATACCACTAAAACAGGAGGCTTAATGATTTTTCAAATTAGACCAAGCACATGTAGAATTTTTTCAGATGAGGAAGAGGAAGATCTTGCCAGAATTGTTATGTTGTATGCATTCTTATCAGTTTTTTTCTTTCTCTTAAAGCCACATAAGGCACGCAGTGGAATCAAAGGCCTGAAGCTCTTTTGTTGTGAAGATGAACAAAGTCGCACATGCTGGATGGCTGCCTTTCGTCTCTTTAAGGTGGGAGCCATTCAGTCTGGCACTGGAAATAATGGGACATTTCTTTCAATATAAATAAAAACTTCCAAGAAACCATGTTCCTCCAAATGGGAAGGAAAGAGAAACTCCCTCTTCCTCTTTATTGCAACCTTACCTCAATGGTTGAATTTTTCCTTTATCAAAAAGTGTGCATATACAAGGATGCATTTCAGTAACATTTAGCTTGACATAGGATTTTCAGCTCTGCCCACACCTTCCTTCAAATCTTGCCTGCTGTATTGCTATATTGCTGATTTCAAATTGCATTTGGTAGCTTTTAATAATTTGTGTGGTCTCAATACTATGATTTCTAGAGGAAAGAAATAATAGGACTATACAGTGTTGTCAAACTTGTCACTTTCAGGCATAGAAAACTGTTTCATGGGCTGGAGTTGCTTTCTCTATATTAACAACTATTAATCTTTCCACAGTATGGCATACAGCTCTACAGAAACTATCAGCAATGTCAGGCACGGCAAAAGGAACCAGCTTGGTTTGGCACTGTGCCCCTGGTAAGTAGTCTGAAAATGAGTTCCTTACTACTGTCATAATAAATAGTGTAATAAATTCTGCTGTATTATGGTAGTATTAAGTATTGTAGTAGTATTGTATTAAGATAGTCACTAATGAGGAGTGATCTCAACCATATTTCTTCTGCTCAGATTCGTGTGCAATTCAGCACTAGTCAACATGTTAGCTTTGTTTTTTGAAAAAAGCATGGACATATAAATACTAGTCTATAAATGGATAACATCCATTTCAAGAGTAAGGAAGGACAAAACTGAGAGAGTTTCCAGACAAATTGCAAAACCAAATTTACACAGTGGAACCTTTTGTAATCACTGCTTTATATTTTATACTTGTCTTTGTGCTGAGAAAGTTTACCCATGAGGCTCTGTTGGAAGGAAGTTATTTACACTGAAAATAAGATCTTTTGTTTGGGATTCAAAATCTTTTCTTTGAGATATTGTGAGTTTGATTTTTTGATGTATGTAATATATTCATCTTCTACACTATCGCCATTTGTATCCTGTTCTGTTGTTGTTGTTTAGAGAAGTATATGTTGTTCATTTCTTTATAGCTCTAGGTACTTTGCAGTAGTCTAGCAGACAATTCATTTACACAGCTATTAAAAGATAGAAGAAGAAATGATGATGATGGTGATGATATGGGAAGGGACCTTGGAAGTCATCTAGTCCAGGGATTTTCAACTTTTTACCGATTGTACCACTTTTAGGATATGGCAATATACCACCTAGCAAGGTGTCAAAAACTTGATCACCCCCCAAAAAAATCTGTTCAAAGTTGCAATTGCACTGAAATGACTTATGACCATTTTTCACACTTATGACCATTGCAGCATATCCAAGGTCATGTGATTTATATTTGGATGCTTGGCAACAACTGATTCATATTTATAATGGTCACAGTGTTCCAAGGTCATGTGATCCCTTTCTGCAACCTTTTGACAAGCAAAATCAATGGCAGAGCTGCTGGTGGCCAAGTGCTAAGGTGGGACTTCCTTTCCTCCCTCCCTTCCCTGCCTCCCTTTTTCTCATTCCCATCTCCTTCTGAAGGAAGAATTTGAACCCCCCCATATTTTCCCCCTTCTATATATTGATCAAACAAGAAAAGGCCTCCAGAGACAGAAAAGACAAACTGCTGAGTGAACTAGCTTAAAAAAGCACATTCCCCTTTAAGAATTAGCTACTGGCTAGAAAGGAAAGTAAGGAGCGCAGTCAGCACTTAAGGAAGAAAAAAAATGTAAGTACTGGCTGCCAGCTAAGGCAACCTCCCCAAATGGCTCTATTCATAAGTAAAGGAATGCTACAGGCAAAATCCATTCAGGAGAAAAATACTTCAAAATCCCTTGCAGCAAAACTTACAGCTAACAACAGCAGAGCAATAGAAGCTAACATGAGACATCAGCCATCAGCCAAATAGAAATTGCCAAACACTCCTTAAGAACACAAAGCCCTCATTGCACAAATCCCAGAACTTCAAAGTCACAAAAGCACATAAGAATCTTTCCACTCTCCATCTCCTTCCCTCCTCCATGCCTCACCTCCAGCCATTGCTGCCTTTTTTCATTCCTCTTGGAGGGCGACCCCTCCCCCGCTACATTTCTTGCCTGTTTGCTGCTGCCAGCACAGGTGGCTGCCACAGCAGTTGTAGATCAGTTCATGGCCAGCTTGCTTGATCTCCTCTCCCCCCACCTTCCTCCTCCCCATCCCCTTCGGTGCAGCTGACTCTCCTCCTCGCAAGGCTGCTGCTTTTTTCTCTCTCTCCCTCTTCTGTCCAAACTGCCTCCTTTTATAGGCTCTCCTGTCTCCGCCCCCTCCTCCTTTCTCATGGGCCAGAAGTGAGCCTGGGGCCTTTGCAGCTCCAGAGGACTCTCTCACTGTAAGTCCTTGCCTGTGCTGGCTCTTTTCCTCCCCCACTACACTTGGCTAGGCAGGGCTGTGTACCACCTGCCACTCATTAATGTACCACAAGTGGTATGTGTACCACCAGTTGAAAAGCCCTGATCTAGTCCAACCCCCTGCTCAGGAAGAAAACCCTACACTGTTATGTCCTGGGCTGTGATTGACACAGCAGGTGCCGGAAGCTGCAGAGAGTCCCAGGCCAGACAGGCTGTCTCCAGTCTATTGCGCATGTGCAAGGCGGGAAAAATATGTTGCATTTATTGGTTGATGCTGCTCCCTGCAGAAGGGTATAAAAGGAATCCGTGCCATTTTGTGTTGTTCTGTTGAAGATTGAATAAAGAAGCAACTGTTGTTACTCCTGCCTCGTCTCAATGCCTTACCAACGCTCAGAACAGAACATATACCATTTCAGACAAATGGCTGTCAAGTCACTTCTTAAAAACTTCCAGTGTTGGAGCATTCACAACTTCTGGAGGCAGGTTGTTCTACTGATTAATTGTTCAAATTGTCAGGAAATTTCTCCTTAGAGAAACAAACAAACAAACAAATATTTTTAAATTCCCTCCTAAATTATAGCCAGAAGGAAACTTACCTTAATTTGTTCCCTGGTGTGAAAAACATCAAATTTGTTGTCAGTGTCAAAAGATCCCTGGCATGTTCAAGAAATTATTTCTTTTTGATGACCTGAAAATGCAAAAAGAATTGTACTTACATGTCCTTCTAAGATTTATGTAAATACTTTTTAAATATTATTTCTGAAAATAATATAATTTTATACATTCAATTATTTAATCATTGAAATAATGAAACCATTTTAAATTGTATGTCAGTTGTAAAATCTGCTTACAATTTTATGCCCTATCTACTATATATTTTTCTCATAATCCTTTTTGTGCAGTCGTTTATTTTATTTTTCAAAAGTTTATTTTTTTCTTTTAAAGAAAAGAAGTTTAAATGTAGACATAAACCTTAGAATTTAGAAACTGGTATACAGTATCAAAACTTGACATAAACCTTAGAATGTTAATATGTGGTATCAAAACTTGCTAATTTTTATGTTAAGTATCTCCTTCTCTTTATTTGAAGATTTGTGTAAAAACTTTTTTTTAAGCTACTAAATTAGTCTCACCTTACCATGCTTACCATTATTTAGTGGCGATAAGGGCGGCAAAGCGTGTTCACTTTTCCGCACTTATTGCGTCTGCAGAATCTCGCCCGGCCGCCCTGTTTAGGTGACCCGCTCCCTTCTTAAAATGGAGGAGGCGGAGGAACCCTTGCAGGGGAGAGCTGAGGAGTTTGTTCAGTTTCTTTCGGACAAAATCGCTCAGATTCAGAGAGACCTGGACTCCGACTGGGCAGTGCCAGCCGAGTTGCCGGGGGCTGGTCTTAGTCATGTTATCTGGAGCGAGTTTGAGCCTGTGACCCCTGATGAAGTGGACAAGGCTGTGAGGGCAATGAATGCCGCCACCTGTTTATTGGACCCGTGCCCCTCCTGGCTGGTTTCTGCCAGTAGGGAGGTGACACGAGGTTGGCTCCAGGCAATAATCAATGCCTCCTTGATGGAGGGGTCTTTCCCGAAACCTTTAAAGGAAGCGGTGGTGAGGCCCCTCCTCAAGAAGCCTTCCCTGGACCCAGCTGTTTTGAAGAACTTTCATCCTGTCTCCAACCTCCCCTTTGTGGGGAAGGTTATAGAGAAGGTGGTGGCGTCCCAACTCTTGCGATCCTTGGATGAAACTAATTATCTGGGCCCTTTTCAATCTGGTTTCAGGCCCGGCTACAGCACTGAGACTGCTTTGGTCGCACTGACCGATGACCTCTAGCGAGCCCGGGATAGGGGTCATTTCTCTATCCTGGTGCTTCTTGACCTCTCAGCGGCTTTCGATACCATCGACCATGGTATCCTTCTGCGTCATCTCGGAGAGGTGGGGGTGGGCAGCACCGTATTGCGGTGGTTCTCCTCCTACCTCTCTGACAGGTCGCAGTCGGTGTTGGCGGGCGGACAGAGATCGACCCCTAGGCGCCTCGATCATGGGGTGCCTCAGGGCTCGGTCCTGTCCCCCCTCCTTTTTAACATCTACATGAAACCGCTGGGTGAGATCATTCGGCGACATGGGGTGAGGTATCTTCAGTACGCGGATGATACCCAATTATATATCTCCACCCCGTGTCCTTTCAGTGAAGCAGTCAATGTGATGTGCCAGTGCCTGGAAGATGTGAGGGTCTGGATGGGGGTGAACAGGCTTAGACTCAACCCTGACAAGACCGAGTGGCTCTGGGTCTTGCCTCCCAAAGGTCAACTGGATGGTCCATCATTAGTCCTGGGGGGGGGCAAATTTACCTCCCTCAGTGCAGGCACGCAACTTGGGTGTCCTCCTGGACTCACAGCTAAATTTGGAACAACATCTATCGCCTGGTGCACCAGTTGCGGCCTTATCTGGACCGAGAGGCTTTACTCACAGTCACTCATGCCCTCGTCACCTCAAGACTGGATTACCGTAATGCGCTCTACATGGGGCTACCCTTAAAGAGCGTTCGGAGGCTGCAGTTGGTTCAGAATGCAGCCGTGAGAGCGATTGTGGGCGCGCCAAGGTATGCCCACGTGTCACCTATCCTCCGCGAGCTGCACTGGCTTCCTGTGGGTCTCCGGACGCAATTCAAGGTGTTGGTTATCACCTTTAAAGCCCTTCATGGCATAGGGCCAGGTTACTTACAGGACCACATATTGCCGCACAGTTCCCAGAGACCGGTGAGGTCCCATAGATTGGGCCTCCTTCAGGTCCCGTCGACCAGACAATGTCGGCTGGCGGGCCCTCGGGGAAGGGCCTTTTCTGTGGTGGCTCCGACTTGGTGGAATCAACTTCCCCCCGAGGTTCAAACAACTCCCACCCTGCCGGCCTTTAAGAAAGCCGTTAAAACTCTCCTGTTCCGGCAGGCCTGGGGCTGATGTCCCCGGGGGGGGGGGCGGGACATGATCGGACTTGCGGTATGAATGTATTATTTTATTGTTTTATTCTCAATGATTGTTTTAATTTTGTACGCCGCCCTGAGTCCTTTGGGATTGGGCGGCATATAAATAAATTAAATAATAATAATAATAATAATAATAATAATAATGCTGCCAGTAGGAACTGATTATGCACTAGTAAAGAGAGCAATTGCTAAACTCTGTTTTAAAAATCCACTAGCGGAGTGTGTCTGACAATACCCTCGTGGCCATGGACTTTTCGGGTTGTACAGGGCGAGTGATTGAAAATCCCAATGAGGCCCTGACTGTAGCTCTGGAGGAAGCTCGGGCATGGAGGGTAAGTCTACTATTTATTTCTTACTTAGACATTTCAGGGACATTAATACAGAAATGTTATAGAAGGAGAGCTGGGTTAATCTATGGTGGCAACAGATTAATATTTTTGGTCATAAAGTTGAATTACCAAAACACAGTTACTGTGATATTATAACTTGCCCACAAAATTAAAATATATAAAGACTTACTAAAGTCTTACCAAGACGTTATTCAACAAGTTAAAAAAATAGCACAGTTTCCACAATACATTCAGCCAAAACCAACCCATTTTCATTTTAGCCAGACTGTACTGTACGTGTAACTGTGTGTGAATAAACTCAAAGTGTCTTTAGGAAACTAAATGTCCCATAAGAGCTAAGGTCATCCTCAGTACAGGAAGTACAGGAGGCCAGTCATGGATGGCTGCTAGCAAAGAAATTTAAGAATTTAGGACAAATGGCAAGGATGTGCAGAGTTGAAGCCTAAAAGCCTGACATTGGAGTATCTTGGACAATAGCCAGAAGCCTGGTCTAGTAATTAAACAAAACAATTCTTGTAATAACAAGGATTTTAAACACCATTAGGCTCCCATTCCTAAAATTAGCAAATAGCTTGAATCAAACCCACAGGAATATTCATTATGTGTTTAAAATTCCTGATTGTTTTTTTTAATATCCTTTATATGGCTGCACATCTCACATAGACGAGTCTGAGTGGAGTACAAGGATGAAAAGCAGAAAACCTGCAACACACCATTCATAGCGCTCCTAAATAAAGCAATGGCCCCATTCACCAAAACCAACCAACCAACAAACAAACAAACACATGGGCAACAGCACAATTTAGTTAACTTCCAGTCCCAAACATCTCTACCATCCCATTATTTCCTTTCTTATTTCCCTTTCTCTTTATGCCAAGCAAAAAAAGTCCAATTTTGATATTCCTGAACACATTTATTCCTTTGGTGATACAAGATTATCAGACAAGTAAATCTGAAATAATTTAAGGCAACTCAAAAATTAACTCATTTATCATACCATCTGGCTTCTGTGAAGCTGAGTAGGCTTTGTCAGATGAATCTGATGAAACCAACTCTTCTTCAAGGAAGTTTGCAGTCCAATCTCAAGAATGTTTTCTCTAAAGAAGCTCCCCCTCTATACAGTAAATTCAGGACAGCAATTTTTGTAAAATGTTTATATAGTTGTTCACTGGAATTGGTCAAAAAGTGTATGGCAATTAGCCAGGATAATTACTGTGAGGGCAAATTTAAATACTTGAACAACCTCTGATGTTTTTCTTTCTATGCTGCAGAAGAAGACATCTCAGCGATATAGCCTGCCCACTGCATTCCAGAGCTGTCCATTCAGTGCTGGTGAGTGCCTGCCCTAAGGACATGATGTGATGTGTTTCCTATTGGCAACATAAGCAGAACCCTGATTGGTGTTGTTGGTAGCAAGTTAAGAGGTGAATGAGGCCTCATGATTGATCAGGGGAAAATAATGCTCTTTCTTATAGCACTAATTGTCCTTCATTACTTGTCCTTAAGTAGCAAAATAGCTAAAACAGCTTACTTTTCCAAATAATCATAGAACACTTACATTTATCATATTAATATCCTCCTTTCAGCAATTTATGACAAAATGGGAAGGTGTCTTATAAACACTATCGGACATTATTTTGTAAAACTTCTTCTTTAAGGAAATCTGCAATACCGTAATATATATATATATATATATATATATATATATATATATATATATATATATATATATATATATATCTTTGGTTGTTCGGGTTTTCTCCCACGTAAAATTGGAAGTGTCTTGGCGACGTTTCGACGAAGTCCCATTCGTCATCTTCAGGCTGGTGCTTTCAGCTTCGTGCCTCGAGGAGCAATGTGTGGTCTTAGCTGTTTCTTCCTTTTAACCCGAACAACCAAAGACCTACATACAGATACCCGCGAAAACCTCAGAAAACACACACACACACACACACACATATATATATATATATATATATATATATATATATATATATATATATATATATATATATTTGTTCGGGTTTTCTCCCGCGTAAAATTGGAAGTGTCTTGGCAACGTTTCAAAGAAGTCCCATTCGTTATCTTCAGGCTGGTGTTTTCAGCTTCGTGCTTCGAGGAGCAATGTGTGGTCTTAGCTGTTTCTTCCTTTTAACTGCTCCTAGAAGCACGAAGCTGAAAACACCAGCCTGAAGATGATGAATGGGACTTCGTCGAAACGTCGCCAAGACACTTCCAATTTTACGCGGGAGAAAACCCGAATAACAAAGATCTACATATAAACACCTGCGAAAACCTCAGAATATATATATATATATATCACTGGTGTGATGGATAGTTTTTACAATCTATTTACTTGAAGATAAAGACAAAGTTGATTGACAGCATTGTACATAACAGGATGCTATAAGGAAGAGTGGAAATGAAGGGAGATAGAAATGAAAGAATTTCCCATTAATTGAACTTCAATTTAACTTAATTGGTTCATACTGATTATATTAGTTACATTAGTTCCTAACGGATTATTGATTAATTATTCTTCTCTGTTTATCAGCTCCAACTTATTCTCAACAGCCCAACTTTCTTCAGTCATGATCTTTAATATTCTTCATTGTAAAATTTAACTTTTACACTTGAAGTTTTTTGTAAATATTTTTTAAATGCTTTGCTTCTCAAAGAAATTTTTTTTTCTTTCTTTGTTTCTTTCATTCTTTCTTCCTTCCTTCCTTTCTTTTTTCTTTTTTCTTTCTTCTTTTTCTTTTCCTTCCCCTTCCTTCCTTCCTTCCTTCCTTCCAGCCATCCACAAAACTCAACCCTGGTTCCATGGCCACATTTCTAGAGAAGATACCCAGCGTCTTATTATTCAACAAGGACTTGTGGATGGGTATGTTGCTTGAATAACATTCCATTTTGTAATATTAATTATACTACTATATTCAGATGTAGGGCTGTAGAAGTTGGCCAGGATGGAGAGGGATATAGGTGTACCTGAAATTGTCCCCATAAGAATATTATAAGAAAGTAAAAAAATGTATTTCTTTTTTTTAAGTTCTATTGGCAATTAACAAAAAAAATTAAACCCACAAGCCCACCCACCCCCACCCCCCACCCCCACCCCAGAGCCGAGTACAGGGTTATAATAAACATATTAAACAAAATCTAATTAAATTTAACTAATTATACAATAACTAAATTCATACTTAACCCTTAACTCCCTTTAAACCTTAATATCATAATATTATAAACAAATCCATTTTAAAACAATTATTATAAAGAACCATAATAACAGTAAATAAACTAAATAACTTCCATTATAAAATGCTATTAATAATAATTATTATTTAAAATTTAATCATAAAATAAATGGAACTTTTTAGTTCCATATTTAATCTGAATATAATCTATCCATCTTCTCCATACCATAATATATCTTTCTTGTGTATGATCCTTTAAATAAGCAGAAATTTTAGCTTGTGTCCATTCTTCTATAGTAGGCAACGAATCTATAATAGCCTTGCTGCTGTTACTAGATTCAACATTAAAATAGTTTCTTTAACATCAAAATCCTCAAAAATCCCTAGTAAGAATAGTTGAGGAGTAAACTTTATCTTCCTTTTAAAAATCTTTTGAATGTTCCACCAAATCATAATCCAAAAAGCCTTAATATTTTTACAAGTCCACCAAAGATGAAAATAAGTTGCATCAGAACTACCGCATCTCCAACATTTAGGCTGTAAATTAGGATACATACAAGACAACTTTTTAGGATCCAAATGCCACCTATAAAACATTTTATAAAAATTTTCCCTTAAATTTTGAGCCTGTGTAAATTTAACATTTCTAATCCAAATTATCTCCCATAAATCCAATGGAATCAGTTCCTGGATATTCCGAGCCCATTTAACCATACAATCTTTAACCAATTCCGTTTCCAAATCCAATTCTATTAACGCATTATAAATTCTTTTTATATGACTTTGATCTTTAATCTGAATTACCAAATTTTCATCTCCTAATGTTATTCCTACTTTTTTATCTAAAGTCCACCTATCCACTATTTGTAAATACTGAAGCCGTGAGAAAAATGTATTTCTTGATTTGGGAGAGTCAAGCAAGGAAACTTAGCAGTTGCTGTTCTTTACCCTCATAGCCACCAGAAGTTTTTTTAAGCTTTGACTTTCAAGGAAAAGGAATCACCATCTGCCCAAGTGCTTGCCTGTTGCATCTCCCAACTCTACAGAAAAATTCATTCTAGCAGTTTTCTATAATATAGTCCTTTAGCTGGGTTAGAACATTGGCAACTCTCAGATCTGCAATCTGTTTACATCTGGAAGACGCTAGTATCAGAAAAGACAAATTATTCAAAGATGTATAATTTGTAAGCATTGCAGTACAGTGGAAATTGGAACAGTGTATGGGGAGTGACTATGGTTATTGGGTGGTAAAAACTAATCCTTGTTTGGGATCTTATCAACTGCAGGTTATTCCTGGTGCGTGAAAGCCAGCGGAATCCCAAAGGCTTTGTCTTGTCCCTTAGTCATACGCAAAAAGTAAAGCACTATCTGATACTTCCGGTAAGTGAACAATGAAACAGGCTGATCTGCTTTCAACCGTGCAGCCTAGCTTGTTGTCTAAGTACAAAGCAGAAATTTTCCTTGGTTTCTTACCTAAATTACTATTGCTTCAGTATTCTAGGGATTGAGTTTAAGTGTTCTGCATGTATTCTTCTATTGTACTTTACCTTCCACAAAAGATGACTTCTATTTAATAGCATCACTCCTAGCCTCTTTTATCTATATTTACAGCATGCTAAGAAAAAAACAGTTCAAAACATAATCTACTTTAATCTGCATTTGTAGATGTGTTAGGAATTGATAGAGCATACAGCTCCCAACTGCTAGCTAGATCAAAGTTATCTAGGTTTAGGGAAACAGAGTCTGACCAAACCGAATATAAATGTATACTATTATTGTTTTTAATGATATTTTGGAAGCAGGTGTTGGTGTTTGCTCATTTGTCTTTGTAGGCATATTCTGAATACTATAATAAGTGGAATAGTTTACCCCCAGAAATCGTGGGTACTCCATCACTGAAGATTTTTAAAAAGAGGCTAGACAGTTACTTGTCTGAGATGGCATAGGTTCTCCTGCTTGAGCAGGGGGTTGGACTAGAAGACCTCCAAGGTCCCTTCCAACTCTATTCTATTTTAAATTCTAAATATGTGATAAGATTAAATTCCAATTCATTGTTGAAAAATATGAAAATGACAAAGCAGGAAAAAAATATCAGCAGTTCATCTGTTTAACCACATCAGGAGAACTAAACAGTCATGCATAAGGAATTCTTGGGAGATCTGCAATTCATCTGGTGTTTACTTTTCCCACCACAAAAAGATGTTGTACTATACTCAGATCAACCTGTGGAAGCATTGTTACTGGAGAGCCAAAATGGGCAGGGGTGGGATAGAGCACTTCTGTCTGAGTTTAATTCTTGAGTGGAAGACTGATATCACATCCCACTTATTCTGCTCTCTTTTGCCTCTTTTTCTATGCCAATGTTTCCTCATTCTTTATTCTTTCAGTGTGAAGAAGAAGGGCGCCTCTACTATACTATGGATGATGGTCAGACACGTTTTGCTGACTTGATTCAACTGGTGGAGTTTCACCAAATCAACCGTGGCATCCTGCCTTGCAAGCTGAAGCACTACTGCACATGTGTTGCCTTATGATAGACTGTCGTCCACGGGCCATTCCTGGGCCCTGAATATATATTGGCTAAGGCTTATATATAGATCCTTTTGAAATGCATACATCAGGAGCTACTTTAGACTTTCACCTTGCCTTCAGCCACTCCTACAAGAAACCAAGAAAAGAACAGTATTGGACCTTCCTATGAGGCTACTCATCAGTAAGCCTTGAGGGTTTTTTTTCAGAATCAAAGAATGATTTGAGGTCATAGTATAGTAATTTAGTTTGGAAACAGTCACAACATTGTTGACTGGTGTCTTTTTTTTCATATGACATTTTTTTACCTCCTGAGTGTCCTTCTATATAAATGTTTTTATACAGACTTTGCTTTGTCACCATGTTACAGAGATTTTGCTGCATTGATCATTTAATCTTTCTAATGTGATTGCCAATTTCTAATAGTCTGGATGTTGTCCAGCATCTATGGCAGAGTTATGCATTGTTTCAAAATCCTAACTGACTAGAAACAATAGTAAAATGTAAGAATTGATTCTTATTGCAAAGAATTTTTATCTTATTAACTCTCTTAGGAACTATTGTCTGGTTCTACCCCAAATTCTGTGGGTGCTGTCATCTTTGTTAGAAAAGGAGCTCTTTTATTGTTCAAATCTCTTCTCCTGGTACCTAGTAGCATAAGTTTATGAAAGTAAATGCAACCTGTTCAAAGGATTGGCTACAATGTTATAAGGATCTAATAAGAATCTTTGGGATTGACCTGAAAGAATCCACAGTAGGAAGGCTCACATGAAGCCAAAGACTGCTCTGAAATTTCTTGTGACTTTTAGCTCTGAGAACAATGGCTGCCTGGTAGGCAGAATCATCTTGGGCTTTGGGAAATCACAAAACCCATAAATTCTTCTAATTGTGAGTACTATAGCAGGGCAAAGATTGAAAGATTTTTGGTTAATTTTAGTTAATGCAACAGATGAGAAATCAAGGTTTGAAGAGTTGTTTTTTTTTCCTCCTTGTTTTAAGGGCTTAAAATATTGTGAGAACAAGAGGGAATGATGCAAGAACGCTGTGACACTCTTATTTCTGCTACTTTTTGAGGCCAGTATATACTGTGATGTTTTTTTGTTTGTATCTGTAAATGCTGATAATAAATCTTATTTTTATGATACCTTGTGCTGGTTTTTTACTCAAATCAAGTTGTGAAACCAACAAACTAATTGCAACCTTTGATATGCATAATCAATGTTACCTAACAGAAAGAATGTTAAATACATATAAATCTCCATATCTAAGACACCAGGCGTCTAAATGTCTTTCCGGATGCCTTGGAGAGAGAAGTGCTAAATAACATTTGCAAAACCATCCAGTAAATATCACTTGAAAAATATAAATCTCCATATCTAAGACACCAGGCGTCTAAAGTATAATTGTATTTCAGCTTCATATTTTCCTATCCTAAACAGTGCCTACAGCAGGAACAATAGAGAAGTCAATAAACAGACTTCCTTCATTGCTTTTTTTTTTTTTTTAAATAATTTGACTGCCCAATGTCTTTCCGGATGCCTTGGAGAGAGAAGTGCTAAATAACATTTGCAAAACCATCCAGTAAATATCATTTAAAAATGATTGTATCAAGAAAAAAAGACCACTGTTCCAGATTAATTATGATGATTCTATGATATTTTGTCTACAAACAAACCAAGCTTAGTAATGTGCAAGGTTATTGGAAAATGCCATTTTCTTTTTTCCAAATACTTTGCCAAGTCTCATGGTTTTGTTTATGTATCACGAGTGTCTGATCCTAGAACTGATTAGATGGGATTTGTATGCAAATCCATTTGGGATTTAACAAAAATTTGGGAGATTAAGAGTTTACATTTTAGCCAATTAGGTCTTAAACTGTCCTTTTTAAAGCCCTTTGAACCCTTTGAAGAAGATGTAAGGATACAAAGTTTTTAGGAAGTTCAAGTGTTTTCAAAAGATTCTTAAAAATCCTTTTTTGGGGGAGTCTACATTTCTCTCCTTCACATTAGGCACTATGTCTCCCAAAACTGTACTGATAAGAGGTTGTTCATCTGGCATTGGGCTGGCTTTGGCTGTTAAACTAGCAAAAGATAAGCAGAGGAGGTTCAAAGGTGAGTTTTCAAAATTGTGGATTTTGTGTGTGTCTGTGTGTAAATAATGTATATGCAAACTATGACTAAGTTCATAAATAATGTATGTGTGTATATATATAATTTAATTCTGCAATTAAATAAAAAGCTGGTACGTTATCATGCAACACAAAGGAAATAAACACAAAGGGAATATCAGCCAAAGTAAACTATTTCCAACAATGCCTCTCACATCCTTAAAATACCTAAAGTATTCTTAGAAAACAAAATGTTGAATAGTTTGTAGCTGAGAATTTCATCTGCCTTCCAAAATATGAGTGTTATATGACTGGTTACAGCTTTTTCAACAATCATTTTGCAAGCAAGTTTAAAATAAACTCTCTTTATTCCAACATTGTCTATTATCCCCAAATGTTAGGTAGCCTTGTTATATATAATGATTATATAGATGATAAATTAGTAACTATTTACAAAACATGGTTAAGCAGGCTAGTTACAGAGTTAACAAAAGTTTTCGCACAAAATCTTATGTACAGTTAATGATACTAGCTTAGTTATGATAAATATGTTTGGTTGTTAGGAGTTCTGTGTATTATACTAATCCAGAATACTATCTAACCTTGAATTGTACAAGATAAAAACAGGATATAAATCTAATTAATACAAGAATAAGTTCAGTAACCAGGTTAAAATTTGAACATATATAAATAGGTTTAAGTATTTACTTGGCACTTAAAGCAAATACAATTTCTCTGTCAAATAGGTTTTGATGAATTATACAATATATTGCTAAATGGGGATTCAAATTTTATATGAATATGTTAAAAAGTGTACAGCAGTGAGTACCAACCTTACTTTCAAAAAGTTTCAGTTGCCTGGTCCATCTCTATACAGTGTTATATATTTGTTCAGGACAGGCATGAGCTGTTGTATTGGAAAAGCCGATTTGTGATAAATGTTGAATACTTTCAGAGTTCAGACTTCCTCCCTAGTAATTATATGTGAATTCACTAACAGGCCATAAGCTGCACTGAAGCGCCATTTCAGATAACAGTTTTAAAGGACAAAATGGTGAAAATATTAATATTGGGATGAGATTAACCATAGTTACAGGTCTTTCCTGGTTTGCCCACTATATTTCATTGCAAAAAGGATTAAAATTTAAAAATATATTTATACTACTAGTGTTTTACAGCAAAAGCTTAGTCATCTCTTGACAAATAAAGAATTTTAATATAACATAATACCAATTTTAGAAGTTATGATCTTTTGGAACCTTTGCTTATCTATCACGAATTTTGAATTCTCCCTTTTGCTAGTTTTAACTTTTTTAACAACTGTTGGTATAACGAATAATTCTTTCATTTTGTTACTGCATGGGCATTCTGTAGTTCTATTTAATTGTTTGCATAATTTGCCAGCTTATTTTAGCTTACAAATGTTTTTGAGATATACAAAAACTACAGTTTGTAGAGTTGTCCTCTTGAGGATCAAAATAATTTATGTCAAAAGTGGGGTCTATGGATCTCTAGTGTGCAAGCTTGAGAATTTATTTGCTCCAATTTATTTTGCTTCAGAATTCCTGCATGATCAAAAGCTGTTGATTTATGCTACCCTTTTCTTCTAAAACTGTTCCAGTTTTAAATCCAGATGTCCACTGCATGGTCTTCAAAACATTGACATCTTGGATCATAAAATGATACTTCGATATTTTGGGAGTAGATTATTTGCCTGTGTTTAGGGTCATCAACTGGTGAAAATAAAACATCCAAATCTTTACTTTTGGACCTTTAGTAGATTGATATAAAGCAACCAACAACTTGTTTTTACAAATGAATTTTAGTATACTTCAAGGCAGGTTTTTATTTATTAAATTTTTATCTCACCTTTATTACTTTATAAGTAATTCAGGTATGTGATCATAAACAATACTCCTTCCTCCTCCATTTTCCCCACAACTGCAACTCCGTGAAATGAGTTAGACTGACAGAGTGAATACCCCAAAGTCACCCAGCTGGCTTTCATGCCTAAAATGGGACTAGAACTCAATGTTTAGCAAATGCCAACTTTGCTATAGATCAGTGGTTCTCAACCTTTCTAATGCCGCGACCCCATAATTACCTAATATGCATATATTTGACCCCCAACCACTTATACATCACCGGGTGCCAGGGGCGTGGCCAAAGAAAAGGGGGGAAAAATGGCGGACAGCCTTGTTTGGCGACCCCCGTGAAATGGTTGGTTCGACCCCAAATGGGGTCCCGACCCACAGGTTGAGAACCACTGCTGTAGACCCTTCCTTCAACCACCTGTTGAAAGAAAATAGATTCAGTGTGAAGTGAGAGTCTGCTTCAGTTTTGTGAGGACATGTCCTGAGAACACATTTGTGCTTCCAAAAACTCTAGTATCAGGGAATAATTACTAAATATTCTGGAAATACATTACAGTATATAAAAATGAAATAAATATCTATTGTAATGCACACCTGAAGATACCAGGTTGAGAAAAATTATGAGAAGAACTTGACAAAAGCAACATTACAAGACCATTTGGTAAAATTGCTAATGTATTATGTAAGTTCATGTTTACCTAATATGCATATATTTATACAATTGACAATCTTATTTATATTGGGTTCTTGCTTTGAGAAAATTTTAAGCATTTGGCCATTTGAAATAAAACAGGAAAGAAACCATTCCCAAATTTGGCCAGCCAAGTTGAAAGAAATATATGACCAAGCCTCACCCATATTCTAGTGATTGCCACAATGAGGAACGTCACCAAGAAAGAAAAGCTGGAAGCAGCTGCAGGGCCAGCACTCAACCAGACTCTAGAGATCAAACAGCTGGATGTCTGCGATGAGAAATCGATCCACAACTGTATTAACAGCATTCCTCAGAGACATATTGATATCCTCAGTGAGTACCCAGAGAGTTGTAGCTTTATCAGCCTTCTGGGGGACATACAACACACCCTCGTGAACCTGTGTGTGTGTGTGTGTGTGTGTGTGTGTGTGTGTGTGTGTGTGTGTCTGCATGGACCTGACTCAGTTAAGCAGATACCTCCATGAAAGCCAGGTATCCAGTTTCTCCTATGGCCCAAGCCAAACTGGCCATTGAAGACAAGGGCATGTAACAACAACAACAACAACAACACCTTATTTTCATTCTTTCCCACCATGCACCTAAGCCATACACATAAAATCTGCTTTCACATATAATCCAGTCTTTTACTACTCTTGAATAACAATTCAGTTGCCAGGTATTCAGGCACTTTACTTTGAGTGTATTGGTGAACATTTGGTTAATCTTCACTTCAAGCAGCAAGAGGTCTGGGATTTTCTTTGGTGATGATCATCAACACAACAATCATGTGGTGTGGCAGTCTTCTTTATATTATTAATCCTCAGGTCTCTAGATATCTGATTATCTGGAAAAGTTAATGGTAGGTTATATTTTTTTTACTTAAATCTTTGGATATCCAGGTGGCAAACTTTGAAGGTCCAATAATGTCATTTTCAGTTGACTGATTTCATCTGATGCTTTGTCTTATTGCGTGGTGAGTGGGTAAAACAGTTAAAATTCTTAATTACTTCTTATAGTCAACAATGCTGGGCTTGGCTTTATTGGTCCTATTGAGTGTCAATCAATTGAAGACATGAAGGCTATAATGGAAACCAACTTCTTTGGTGTAGTAAGGATGATTAAAGAGGTCTTACCAGACATGAAGAAAAGGAGGAGTGGACACATTGTGGTCATCAGTAGTGTCCTGGGTTTGCAAGGTAAGTTGACTTTAATTTATCTACATTGTCTGTACAATAGTCAATTCAGAAGCAGTAGATAAGGCATCCCTTTCAAATTAGGAATTTGACAGTATTTTAGGACAGTATTTTAGGACAGTATTTCTTGCCCAACAGGTATATTAGATCACAATCAATTTCCAGACAGCATGAGCAAATAAACTGTGGGAAGTTTTCCCTAAGATATCTGGAGGATCCATGATTTGAAAATAATGAGGTTGAATAAAATAATCATCATAACCATTTTAAATCATGAATGAGGTAGAGATATCATAGATCATTCATGCACCAACATATGTACATTTACAAAATAAATACTCTATACATATAATCCTTTCTGTATAGATCCATTTGTTTCCATAATGCTAGTTTAGGCAAATCTTGCAGATATTTTGATTGGTATATTATGGTATATAAATAATACAGCAAGTAGCAATATTTAAGCTATCTAAAAAGTAATAAATATATCCAAATTGGAGAGACCAAAAACCTTTATAAAAGCAGTAGGCACATTTTGCTTTCAATTTTATATTTAGTCTATCCAAATGTTCCTTTGGTTCCTAAAATGCATAAAACTCAGGCATCCAAATGAACAAGAATTTGATGCTTGATCACGGTTCTAAAATTAACAATAAAAATAAAACCAATTCCAGTACCAGGAATAGGTTGGATTCTCACAGCACATCAGATTAGCATTTGATAGTTTCTGGTTTCAGCATGTTGACAGCCAATATAATCTATTATCCTACGAGCTGATTATTTTTCTTGGGTTAGGGATTGTAGTTTATTCTATCTTCCCATTGAAGAACCATAAGTAACATCAGAGGAAAGATAGAAGCCATGTTTCCAACTAGTGTAGGCTTTCACAACCAGTTATCTAAGGGAAGTGTTGAGCTTTAGGGTTTAGTGTCTGTGGTCTAGACCACAAATTTCTTGATATTTTGCTGGCAACTGTGGTTGGCTCTTCAGAGGTAAGGTGACCCAATGTTTTTTATTTTCTAAACTTTGGGAAAAGAAAAGCTGTGGGAAGCCATTCACATCAATTTCTCTTGTAAAATCCCTTCAACAACCCCCCTCTTCCAAAAGGCCTAGGCCAGGAAATGGTCCTTTCTAAAAATGTGAGGAAAACTCGCCCAACATGGTTTGGGCTTGTCTTGAATTCGATCACACTAGTTGTATAAAGAAAAGCCAGCAGTACAAGGAAGAACTGTAGAACAAGTGAAACTATTTGGGCCTTTACAGGGGGAAAACAGCCAAATGGATCTTATCATCCCAAGCTAAATTCCTCACTTTTGATTAACAAACTATAGAGATAAGGTCATGACTGCTTAACCATAATCTATTATGTTTTGTCTTCTAGGCATCATTTTCAACATCTACGCCGCATCCAAATTTGCCATTGAAGGTTTCTGTGAAAGCCTTATTATCCAAGCACTCAGATTTAATATCTTGTAAGTGGGTAGTAGTGGTGATGCTAATAAACTCCCCTCCCATTAGAATATAGTCAGATTTGCCATGTCTTTATTTCTATAAGGTTTTAATGAATGGAATGCAAACAAAAATTCAGGAAAAACATCTGCACTCATTGGAATAATCTAGCAGAAGGCTTAGCTTTTGACCTTTAGCAGAAAAAGTGGCAATATGTGAAAAAAAATTGTTTCGTTAACTAAATATCACATAGCTGCTGATCACTATGAATAGTTCAGGGTTAACCTCTATACAGATAGTCCTTGACTTACAAGAGTTTGTTTAATGACCATTTGAAGTTACAATGGCAAAGAAAAAAGTACTTATGACCATTTTTCACATGATTGTTGCAGCATCCTCATGGCCACATGATCAAAATTTGAATGCTTAGCAACTGGTATGTATATATGATGGTTGCAGTGTGCTAGATCATATGATCACTTTTTGCAACCTTCTGACAAGCTAAGTCAGTGGGGGAACTAGATTCACTTAACAACCGTGTTACTAACTTTTGTTTTTCAACATGTTTTATTAATTTTTAACATATACCTTAATATTTGGTAAACATCGTGTTGTCTGGGTTAGTGTTTAGAAAACAACCAATAATTAATTTCTATAATTCTGTAGCCCATATAATAGCTTTACTTGGTTTCCTTTTTTTCCAATATTCTCTTTTGCCAACCTTAAATAATACAGTTCTTTTTTAAATAAATGACAATTGAACATAAACATTTTTCTCATGTTTCTGCAAATACTAACCACATTAATATAAAGCTTCTTTTCATTGATCATCTTGATTGCCTCATCATAAATCCTGTTTACATTCTTATTTAAATTTGTTTTCCCCACAATATTCAACACATTTTTACTGGTTAAGATTTTCTCAAAATTAGTTACACTTAAATATTTAAGTCTTTTTTTCCTCATACAAGCCATCACATTTTTTACATTTCTCATGTCTTAAAGAAAAATAAGAGAAAAGAAAAAAGACAAAACGGAGAAAACATTTCTTTCATGTAAACCATTCCAACATTTTTATATTTCTCATGTCAAAAAACCAAACACAAAATAAAAAAAGAAAGAAGGCATACTATATTACTTGAGGGGTTCATCCCTCTTAAACTAATCTTCATTTATATTCAAAATCTTTCTATTTCTTTAACCATATTCAAACAAATGCTTAATTTTTAAATACTCCCTTGGTAATTCCCATAATCTAATTTCTTAATTCTCACTTCATCCTTTTTTTTTTGCCCAACATCTTCCCTGTTCAATATGCTTTGATGAATCAAAGAATCTTCCCATAATCTTATAAATGTTGTTGCAGGTACAAAAGGCAAAACAGGTAAGATGTTTTTATAGGAAGGTTTCACTTCTTTGTATTCAGTGAAAATCTTTTCCTTTTTTCCTTTCTTGATTTTATTTATTATTTTTTGTCTCTCAAATTTGGGTAATTCTTCTGGCAAAGTCCATTTTGCCAAATCTTTTTTCTTATCCTCAAACTTATTTTGTAATCTTAGAGTGTAGTTTGTCTTTTCTATATCCAGAATTTCCTGTAATTTTTTCCCCATCTGGGTTAAATCATACTTCCTTGTATCATTAAATTTCATCTTAAAATCTCTCTCCTCTGTCTCATATTCAGCTGTCTGTTTTTTCTGCTCACTCTCTATTTTTATTTTCTGAGAATTTTTATGTTGTAAAGTTAAATTGGAGATGTGTTCATTTATATTTTTAAGGTTATATTTAATTTCCTCATGGTTTGAAATTATTGTTGTTTGGATTAGTTGCAACATAGCATAGATCTCCTTCTGGAAAATATTTGTTTTTTCTTGGTATATTCTTTCTGCAGATCTCTGATTTTCCATGATAGCCAAAAATCAGGGTTTTCCTTACTCTGCAGAAAACTTTTGAGTTACAGTTGAGTTAGTATTTGTAATCCAGAAGATTAATTCTTTTTTTAGAATTTATAATTCTCACTGTGTAGAAAGCCCAAGATGTTTTCTTTTTTCTTTTTGTCACAGCTGTTCTCTGTTATTAAGACACTGAAGGTCACCAGAATAAAATTTATCTTTTCCTGAGCTTTGCCAGTCCCCATAATAGAGCAGCTGTTGTTGTATATTTTCATCCACCACTAGATGTCAGCACCAGTTCTTTCAGTTCTTTTCAGTAGTAGACAATTATTTACTTTTATTTTCATGATATAAAAGGAAAATCTTAACAGATTCCACCGATTTCAAACTTATTCAAATTAAGTCTTATATTCTTTTTATTTCAATATATTTCTGTTCCCCCTGAAAGGTTTAATTTGCCACTTCCATGTGCAGGAGGGTGGGGCAAAGGTCCCCCTCCTTCTCACTTTTGGAGGCTTTTTGCTTCTTGGTGTTTTTCTTTTTCCAGGAAATCAATTTCTAAGTAGAAGAAAGAAAATCACTGTTCTTACCCAGTTCCAAACACGTTGTTTACAATCAACTTGAAGTAGCACTTTTGGACTTCAGTTGCTTATAGCTTGGGCTAGACTCGGAAGTTACTGTTCTGATCCAGAGTTAAGTTGCTTTTGTAAATCCAGATCAGACAGATAAACTCAATAAGAACAATTATAAAATAGATACACTTTATTCAGAAGGAAATACTTGCAATTGTGGTTGTTGCTCCCAGATAATATACATCTGTTCATCCTTATAGGTAAGAAATTAATGCTTCCTCCATACCAACTTCTAGTGTGAAAATGGAACAATCTGAATCCTACCGTGGCCCCATGCTTATATCAGACAAAGAACGTTCCAAACTGGCACGTAGCCAGTATATCCTGAAATGAACTTTAGAAACTCCTCCCACTGACATACTAACATGATGTAGCTGACTAGCTAAAACTACATTACCCATAAGCCATCTATTAAGGAGAAAGCACTTAACCCAATAAATACCAAACATTCTAACATACAGATCTACATGATCCAGAACAGCTAGCCTCTTCTCCTGCCAGTTTCTGGAGGGCTTTTTCCAAACCAATTGGATTGACTGTCATTTCTCTGCAATTGGCAGGACTTCCCCCCCTTCTATGCTGCCTCTAGGGGGCAACTTCAGGCCTATTTAAGGTCCCCTGGCAGGCAGAAATCAGGCGTAAGGTGCGGAGCCCTGCCATCCCTCAGCTGCTGCACTACTGTGCAAACCCGGAAGTCACAACAGTGTTACTAACTTAACAACTGCAGTGATTCATTTAACAACTGTGGCAATTGTGTCATAAGTCGAGGATTACCTGTGTGGACTTTTGGAATCTGTTCCCCTAAAGGTCAGTTGTAACCCAATCCAAATTCAGAGTGTTGTTAAGTAGAAGAAAACTGCTTTAACATCTATAAACATTTTGATTAAAAGCTGTTTCCAGAGGGACATTACTAGTCTAAAACAGGTTTCCTTGTCCTGGTGTCCTCCAAATTATTGACCCAATAAAATAATACTTTGGAATTCTGTGAGTTGTAAGTTCAGCATTTCCTAAGACTTGAAGAAGGTAACCCAATATTTTCTTAATAACTCAATACAAACAACTTTCACTTTTTTCTTGGGAAGCTTACCTGATTGGTTCCAGTTTCCAGTATGAATTCTGACCAGTATAAACATTAGATCTGTATGATTGAATAGATTTTTGCAGCTCACTCAATGATTTTGAAGATGAACATGACTAGTTTACAAAAATTAAAAACTGGAGGAAACTGAAATTTTGTAGCCAATGTCCTCCAGATTAGGACTGCTGGTAGTGCCTTCTAAAAATCCATTTTTGTTATGATTTTTCATGCTTTATTTGTAGTGTCATTTGATAGAACCTGGTCCAGTGGTAACTGAGTTTGAGATGAAAATCTATGAAGATGCAGAAAAAGCTGACTATTCCCAGACAGATCATGAGACTGCTGAGATATTTTCTCAAATTTACATGAAAAATTCCAGAGCCATCTTTTCCAACCTGAGTCAAACACCTGAAGATGTAGCTGAGATGATAATATCCTCTAACGTGGGATCTGATATTGTAGAATCAAAAGATTCAGAGATGTCCTGTGATCTCACCATACTAACTATACTCCCTATGTCCTGTCTCCTGTCTGTTTATAAAATCTGTAAGCATGTATGTGAAAGGAGGTTGTATACATGTAATTTTTTTATGCACTCACACAGTATTGATAAATGTGATATGCTTTTCTCTGATACTTGATATCCTTAGGACTCTTGTTTATTTACATCAAGGGTCTTCAAACTTGGCCACTTTAAGACTTGGCTACTTTAAGACTCCCAGAATTCCTTAGCCAGCATAGTTGGCTAACGAATTCTGGGAATTGAAGTCCACAAGTCTTTTTTATTGAAAAGTTTTATAAAAATTATAGTATACACCCCAAAACCCACCCACCCTAAACCCCCCTCTCCCTCCCCCACTTCCCAGAGCTGAGTACAGGATTACAAATATAATAATCAAACTCTAACTAACATTAACCAACTATATAAATAACCAAGTCCCTAATGTGCTTTAACTCCCCTTTAATATAGGTATAAACAAATTAAAAATAAACATAATAATATAAACAAGTCAATATTATTAAACAATACAATATCCAAATTGTTAACAATACTAATACTAAAAATAATAATAAAACTAATAATAATAATAATAGTAGTAGTAAAGTTGGAAGGGACCTTGGAGGTCATCTAGTCCAACCCCCTGCTCGGGCAGGAAACCCTACACCATTTTGGACAAATGGCTGTCCAGTCTCTTCTTAAAAACTTCCAGTGTTGGAGCATTTACTGCTTCTGGAGGCAAGCTGTTCCACTGATTAATTGTTCTCACTGTCAGGAAGTTTCTCCTTAGTTCTAGGTTGCTTCTCTCCTTGATTAGTTTCCACCCGTTGCTTCTTGTCCTGCCTTCAGGTGCTTTGGAAAATAGCTTAATTCCCTCTTCTTTATGGCAGCCCCTGAGATATTGGAATACTGCTATCATGTCCCCCCTTGTCCTTCTCTTCGTTAAACTAGACATACCCAATTCTCGCAACCGTTCCTTATATGTTTTAGCCTCCAGTCCCCTAATCATCTTTGTTGCTCTTCTCTGTACTCTTTCTAGAGTCTCAACATCTTTTTTACATCGTGGTGACCAAAACTGGATGCAGTATTCCAAGTGTGGCCTTACCAAGGCATTGAAGAGTGGTATTAATACTTCACGTGATCTTGATTCTATCCCTCTGTTAATGCAGCCTAGCACTGTGTTGGCCTTTTTGGCAGCTGCAGCACACTGCTGGCTCATATTTAAGTGATTGTCTACTAGGACTCCGAGGTCCCTCTCACAGTTACTACTATTGAGCATGGTGCCACCTATGCTGTACTTGTGCATTTGGTTTTTCTTGCCTAAATATAGAACCTTGCTTTTTTCACCATTGAATTTCATTTTGTTAGTTAGTGCCCAGTGTTCAAGTCTGTCCAGATCCTTCTGTATCTGAAGCCTGTCTTCTGGAGTGTTGGCTATTCCTGCCAGCTTGGTGTCATCTGCAAATTTGATGAGTTCCCCATCTATCCCTTCATCCAAATCGTTGATGAAGATGTTGAAGAGTACTGGGCCCAGAACAGAGCCCTGGGGCACCCCACTACACACTTCCCTCCATATAGATGCAGTTCCATTGAGGACCACTCGCTGAGTACGGCCGGTCAGCCAGCTACGGATCCATCTGGTGGTGGTTCTGTCTACCCCACATTTTTCTATCTTGTCAAGTATTAGGTTGTGATCTACTTTATCAAATGCCTTACTGAAGTCCAAGTAAATTATGTCCACAGCATTCCTCTGATCCACTAATTTTGTCACTTGGTCAAAGAATGCAATAAGATTTGTCTGGCATGATCTATTTTTGACAAACCCATGTTGGCTTTTAGTAATGACTTTGTTTGCCTCTAGGTGTTCGTTGATTCGTTGTTTGATTATCTTTTCCAGGATCTTCCCAGGTATTGAGGTCAGGCTGATAGGTCTGTAATTTCCTGGATCCATTTTTTTTCCTTTTTTGAGGATGGGAACTACATCAGCTCTTTTCCAGTCCTCTGGTAGTTCCCCTGTGTTCCAGGATCTTTGAAAAATATAGTTCAGTGGCTCCGATATCACATCTGCCAGTTCCTTGAGAACTCTGGGGTGTAATCCATCTGGTCCTGGCGATTTGAACTCATCTAGGCTGGACAGGTGCTCCCTAACGATTTTCTTGCCTATCTTAACTTGTGTTTCTGTTTTGTTTTTTATGGCACTATTTTTGATAGGTTGGTCTGTTTTTTCCCTTTGTGTAAAGACAGATGCAAAAAATGAGTTAAATAGTTCTGCTTTCTCCCTGTTGCTTGTCACCTTCTTGCCACTTCCACCCACTAATGGACCAATCATTTCCTTCACTTTTTTCTTGTTTTTTACATGTTGAAAGAAGCTTTTTTTGTTATTTTTGACTTTGGTCGCAAGCCTTAGTTCATTTTGAGCCTTGGCTTTCTTCACTTCATCTTTGCAGGCTCGGGCTATTTGCTGATATTCTGACTTAGTTATGTTCCCCTCTTTCCACTTTCTATACTTGTCCTTTTTATCTTTCAATTTGTCAGAGAGTTCTTTATGCAGCCATGCTGGTTTCTTTTGAGAGCTGTTATTTTTCCTCTTTGTTGGTATTGTGCTAGACTGTGCTTTTATTATCTCATTTTTCAAAATTTCCCAAGCTTCTTGAGTTGTTTTCCCCTTGAGGATTCTCATCCATGGAATCCTTCCCAAGCCCTCTCTAAGTTTATTGAAATTAGCTCTCTTGAAGTCCAAGACTCTAGTTTGACTGTGTTCTATTGGTTGTGCTTAATAAAAATTCTACTATAATAAACTATTAACAATAATAATACTCTAAAATTTACTCATAAACTAGATGGAACTTTTTAGTCCCATATTTATTCTGAATATAACCTATCCATCTTCTCCAGACCGAAATGTATCTTTCTTGTGAATGATCCTTCAAGTAAGCAGAAGTTTTTGCCATTTCTGCTAAATTTGACACTTTAAGCGTCCATTCTTCTATAGTAGGCAAATAATCCTTCTTCCAATAATGCCCTACCAATAACCTTGCAGCTGTTATCAAATTCAACATCAAATTAATTTCTTTAACATCACAATCTACAATAACACCCAATAAAAATAATTGTGGAGTAAACTTTATCTTTCTCCTAAAAATCTTTTGAATGTTCCACCAAATCTTAATCCAAAAGGCTTTTATATTTCTACAAGTCCACCAGATATGAAAATAAGTAGCATCCAAGCTACCACATCTCCAACATTTGAGCTGTAAATTAGGATACATACAAGACAACTTTTTAGGATCCAGATGCCATCTATAAAACATTTTGTAAAAATTTTCTCTTAAATGTTGGGCCTGGGTAAATTTTACATTTCTAACCCAAATTACCTCCCATATATCCAATGGAATTGGTTCTTGGATATTTTGGGCTCATTTTACTATCCAATCTTTAACTAAATCCATTTCCGAATCCAATTCTATTAAAGCATTATAAATTCTCTTTATATGCGCTTGATTTTGATCTTTAATCTGTATTACCAAATTCTCATCCATTAAGGTAATACCAACCTTTTGATCTAATTTCCACCTAGCCAACAATTGATTATACTGAAACCAAGATTGTACAATATTTTCTTGCTTTAACTCAGCTAACGATTTTAATTGCCAATCATTCCCTACCAATCTAAGTAGTTCCTTATAAGAAATCCTATCCAAATTCACACCCATAGATACCCCCTCTATCACGTGTCCAGGAATCCCCCAGATTGGTATTTTATAATTTAACTTATAATAATACTTCTTCCAGACATGCAATAAAGCACTTCTTAAAATATGAGATTTAAAAGCTTGGTCAACTTTTTATTATAAATTAAGTATGCATGCCACCCATATAATAAATCCCATCCCTCAAGATGAAGTATACTTTTATTTGTTAAATTAAGCCAATCACTAACCAGTGTTAAAACCACTGCATCATAGTATAATTTCAAATTAGGCACCTTAAGTCCTCCTCTTTCCAGTGCGTCTTGTAAGATCTTAAATTTAACTCTTGATTTTTTCCCCGCCCAAATGAATTTATTAGTGCCCTTCTGCCATTCGTCCAAATTGGCATCTTTTTTCAAAATAGGTATCATTTGAAACAAGAAAAGAAACTTTGGTAGAACATTCATTTTAACAGCTGCAATTTTCCCCAACAAAGATAATTGTAATTTTTTCCAATTGTTTACGTCCTTTTGTACTTTTAACCATAATATCTCATAATTATTTTTATACAATTTTACATTAGAAGCTGTAATATATACTCCCAGATATTTAACCTTTTTCACTATTTCAAAACCTGTCCATTTAACAAGTCCACAAGTCTTAAAGTGGCCAAGTTTGAAGACCCCTGATTTACATCATAGAATCTCATTTGTTTTTGTTGAAAAAAATCATCCTTTTGTTTCCTAAAGTTGACTTTTAAAATAATACTCACATGAATGTCTTCTGATTCCCTTGGCAGCATATCCTAAAGGTCATTAGTACAGACCGCCCTTCCGTCACCAGACTAATGCCATGTATACCCCTAGGATGGCTCTCAAGCAAGCTGATCCCACTGGGGCCCTGATGACCAATTCATTCTATAAACTGATCTTCAGATATGATAAGCTTTTGCGCATTAGCCTAAGGGCCATCCAGCTTCTCCGCTGGCAAGCCCACAAAGTGAAACAAGGTGCCCGATTGCTGGGCTTTAGATAGAGTTCTATGTGATGGTAGCCCAAACTGCACTGTCAGCAAGATGGACGAATACTTAGGGGTTGTTGCATGGAAACTATTCAAGCAATTGCTTAATGTATTAGCTTTAGACTATTGAACTTACACTTTATGTCTGTTAACCTCTCTTAACTCCCCATTCTTGTTTTATGTGCATTGTAGCATTATTAATTGCAATGTGTATATAATTATTTGCAAAAAAACAGAGAAAAAAAATAAAACAAAGAAGCATCAATAAGAAAAGAAAGAAAATCAATTTATAAACACAAGAAGCATAGCTGAAAATCATTAACAACTGGGAATTTGCCAAATTCAGAAGTATATATACAAAAATATGGCACACACACACAATCTTGAGGAGAGAAAAAAAGCAAAAAAAGAGCATCCATTTTCAATATTTTTGACAAGAATGATATATTAGGAGAACAATTATTAATATAACCTGCAAATAGTAAATAAATTTGATTAACTTTTCCTGCTTTTAAAATACTTTTTGGAGCATTTCTATAGTAGTAATTTTACAGAAATACAATCTACATTTTAAAACACTATTGATAAAATGAAAGATATTTTACTTTTCCAATATATTGCAATAGTCAATGGGTAACCATAAAAATCGAATCAATTCATTTTGTTGTATTGTAAAACAACCTTAATTCACTATTAAAGGCTTTAAGTAATTTTCTTGGTTTTTTAAAAAAAACCTCTGATCAAAGCACTAATTAATTGGGCATTACCACTAAAGTTGATAATATGTACCAATTAATTTACACCCCAGATAACACAATCTATTATATTTCTAGCCTGCAGAATTCATGCTGTGCTAATGGCAAATTAATTTGGAATTGAGTATTGTTTATATGGTGCAGAACATTAGAAGGCTGTATTGTTATTATCTCATTTTGTTGTATTTTACTCTTTCCATTAATTCAGTTTCTTATCCTGCTTTATTGCATTTTATTGTACCTTTTTATTTTTATATGCTAGGTAAGCCTGTGACTTGATTCAATTGAATTGAATCTAGCACAGTCATAATGTATACAATGTAACATTAATAAAGTGTAATACCATTGCTGAATTTTTTTTATTTCTTGATGGATTACTAAAAAGGTTTAAAAGAAATTGAATATAACAAGAATTCCAATGATGTTCATAAAGTTTAGTGCTCAAATAATCTCACCTTTAAAACTCCTTATAGATAGCCATTTTGCTTAATATAAAAGTCTTATATTAATTTGATAAAGTTCTCTTACTATCAAATTAAATGCACGCTGTTCTTCATACCTTAATGATTTGTGGAGTACATATATTGTATGAAGTAATGACTGAATGTGAATACTTAGTTCTTTAAAAGTTCAATCTGGTCCCTTCTGAGAACTCCACTAATTATTGCTTCATTGGTTTCAGCTTCCTGCTAAATCAAGATAGTGATTTAGGTCTGATAGATTTAGTAATAGTAACAGTTATCTGGACTTCTTCTAATGCCACAGATTGTCAGAGGTTCAACAGTATGTCTGAGAAAGAGAAATTCCCAAAAATATTGAAGAAATTAACTGGATCTATCAAAGTGTCTGTCAGACCACTTTAACTGACCCTCCAACTTTATACAGCAATGTTTCTCAACCTCAGTAAGGTTAAGATGGGTGCCACAATTTCAGAATCAACATGCTGACTGGGAAATTCTGGGAGCTGAAGTTCACCTGTCTTAAACTTGCAGAAGTTGAGAAACATAGCTATAGTGGATGATAGCAGAGGCCAGCCTAAAACTGAACAACAAATAAATTATCCAGGACAGCATAGTTCCTTCACTTTCAGATCACTGGCTCCAGCTAAACAAAATACCAAATGTATGTCCAGACCAGAAACAATTGGGAACAGTCCAAGGTCCTCATGAGAGATAAGAAATCCTGATCAATCTCCTACATGGGGAACTTCAGTTTGATAGACCTATAGGGTAGTCCACTGCCATGCCACAATTCACTCTGTCTAGCTCAGGAAGAGTAGCTGTTGTGCAGCAATGTGGATAGCATACCAACAGTCTTCCATTCTGTCCTGATAATCCAGACACAGCAACAAACATTCCACACTAATGGACTCTCTGATGAAGTTTATAGATACAGATGGCCACACCAGATCCATATTCTTCAGCCTTAGCCTGATGCATTGCAGAGTAATCCATTGCACACAGAGCCAGGAGGAATCAGTTTCTCATCTCCAAGCAAGGCATTCCTAATCCATTTACATATCCTAATCCATTTACATCTGGGTCTTCATTCAGGATGAATAAATATTACCAGCAAATACACTAGCATTAAAATATATAGGATCTTTAGGTTGAAGGGTCCTCCTTTATGATTGGAAAGGATCATTCTCCTGTCTTTGAAATGGCCAAACTTTTGTTCCTGCTACATCTGTCCTTCCCAGTTATGACATCAATATTTACTTGTAGGTCCATGCAACAATCCTCAGTTCAGAACTTTAGCAGTTCTGCTTTTGTTTATGGTTATTCATGCCATGATCAATTCCCAATTGGACTCTTGCAGAGTGCTTTACCTAGAAAACTGTTGAAGCTTCATTTGGTCCAGAATGCAGCAGTGTGGGTAATTGTGGGCAAATGTTGTTATATTTATGTATCTATCTATCTATCTATCTATCTATCTATCTATCTATCTATCTATCTATCTATCTATCTATCTATCTATCTATCTATCTATCAAATTTATTTGCTACCCCATCTCATGGTTCAGGCAACTCTGACTCTTAGGCTCATATAACACTGCTATATTACAAGCTGCAGTGGCTCCCAATAAGCTTCTTGCTGTGATTCAAGGTGCTGGTTACTACTTTGAAAGCTCTACATGGCATAGAACCAGGTTATTTGAGAGGTTGCCTTCTTCCAAGAATTACCAGTCCCTCATGCTCCTACAAAGACAGCTAGTTTCAAGTTCCTTCTTTTAAATCTTGTCATCTTATGCAGCTTAGGAAATGTGCTTTTTCTCTGGACCAATCTCCCTTCCCTCTCCTCCTGATGTATCTATCACAAGCTAATGTGTTTCCCCCAAAATAAAATGGGGTCATATTAATTTTTGCTCCAAAAGACGCATTAGGGCTTATTTTCCGTTAGGTCTTATTTTCAGGGAAATATGATACTAAATGCGTCCATCTGGCTGATGATCTTAACTGGGGCTTATTTTGGGGGTGGCGCTTTCATTATGAGTGTTCTAAAAAAATCACGCTAGGGCTTATTTTCCAGTTGGGTTTCATTTTCAAGGAAACACAGTACAACTCATCTTACCATTACAAAAGCTATTATAACTGGTTCATTCCTCAAGCTTTAGGAGTTAGTTGAGCAGGACTCTCCCTATGGTTGTTTATTGTGTGCTGGTCACCATTTTACATTTTGTTTTTATATATTATTTGCTTATTGTTATATGGCCTCCTCTTCCTCTTGTTTGTTGTTATGCATTATGCCACCCAGAGGCATACTGTTTGAGTTGGGTGAGGAAAGAAGGGAAGGGATGAGAACAAGGCAAGGCAAAGCAGAGGGGGGGGGGGGAGAGGAGAGGAGAGGAGAGGAAAGGAAAGGAAAGACATCAAGTAAAAACAAACCTCGCAAGCAAATGTTCTTAAGCTTTCAGATTTCTTGGCAGGGGTTTTATTCTCTGTATTTAACTTTTATAACTGGCGCAGAACATACTGATCCCCTCATTTTGTTTTCAGCCATAACAGCAATAGTACATTTGTTCTCAAAACTCGTTATTGAGCTTTTTTAAAAGTGTCATCTATGTTATCTTTTGTTTCTTCCATTTTATTTTATTGTAGTGTGGCTTTTCTTCAGGACTTTTTTGATCCTAATGGCCTTGAAGGCATAATTCTGCAACTGCCATCACTGTGGTAGCAAAATCCATTTCTCTCTATTCAGCACTGATCAGCCCACATCAAGTATTGAAACAATTTTACAAAAGACATTAGCAAACTGGAGCATGTGCAGAGTATATCTAGGGACTAAGGTCCTCATATTCTTCTCTTTCAAAATCATTGAACTTGAAGTCAGATATCTTGCAACTGTTCTGCCTTTAGGAAACCCTACTCCCCAATTGTTATAAAAATCTGCATCTTCACACTACATTTTACTGATTGACCATTAAATCTCCATTTATCAAATTTGCCATTATGCCAATCAGCTGGCCTATAACTCCTAGGACAATTAGAAACACAGTAAAACCAAAACGTACTCATAATGTTTCTTCACTCCATACTCTTCTCACTTTCCTCCATCTAAACATTATAGTTATCACCAATTGGAGCTCCTCTAACTGGCAAATATAAAACAGGGCATCCGGATTCTTCCAAGATAACTTCTTATGTTAAGGACATTTTTAAACAAAGTCTTGCCATTTCTGAATTCCAGTCCTGAATGGTTAAGGCTCAGACCTCCACCCCTGGATGTTTCCAAACCCCCAAATACTTAAGTTGCCTCCAGCTCCAGGGATCTGCTCCATTTATCTTTTTTGATGTGTATACTGACTAAAAGATGACAATTATGTCTCTCCCTCTATTGGCTTCATTTTGCCATCTGATGTCCAAAGTGATGACCAGGCAACATATTCTCACTAGTCCTCTACTTTTCGATCAGGCTAATCTAATTCCTTTTCAATTAGAATAGTTTGTTCTATATGACAATGCCCATAGATGGCATATACACTGCAATATAGAAGTAGGCATTGCAACAAGCCTATTTTGCCTTTTGTTATCCATAGTTCTGCTTATACTTTGAACCAAGACTGCTAGCTTTTAAGACAGATCATTTGTATCTTCCTGCTTCCAGGGATTATTAAAAACACTGTCTTCTCATTCATGCAACAAAGCAAAAGACTCTAGGTGCAAGGCTCTACCATCTCATAGGCCTAGATAACTAATGATCAGTAAGTTTTGTCTATTGTTTCCCAATGCTACCATATTGCATTCTGGGCTAACAACACACTGAAAAATTCTACTGGTTCCAAGGCACTTCTAGAATTATATCAGGAATTCTATCTCCTCTAACTAGGTTTCTACATCAAAGGTAGTTTAGATGCTCCATGATGGCTTTTTGAATCTCATTGAGTTCAGCTGTACCTTTTCCCATCAACCTGTTGGCTACAATCCTTTGGAGATCCATAGGGATTTGGCCAACTACACTTTTTACTAGTTTCTTGAGGCTTTGGCTGTCATGATTTACTCAGCTGTCACACTGTCTCTCCAAGATTATCTTCATCTTTGAAAACATGAAAATAGCTTTTGCTTTACCTCTGTTGATCACTCCTTGGAGTTTCTCCCCCTGATTCTCCTTCATGTTGCCAAATCTTTTATACCAATATCCATAGGTCCCATTCATTGCTTGTCGTTGAAGATAGTATTTTTTTTCACTTTCAGTTTTTTTTATTCAGAAAGTTAAAAAACAAATTCCCCCTAAAATAAGAAATTTTACAAAAACAAAACAAAAGTAGAAAAAAACATTAAGGAAGATAGTATTTTTAATGTGTTCACTTAGGACCAAATGTAAGGACTTTGCAATGGACTGCATCTTTATTATTTTCTCATAGGGATAAAGGGCTCTTTTGCCCAGAAATCTCTGTTAACTTTGATTCCATTTAAGTCTGGACATTATATTGCATCCCTTTCCCCCTCCCCAATTCTTTGACACAGAGGAGTCTCCAGAGAATTCTTAACTTTTTCTTGCATCAAATGGCTTCACTTCATAAACTCCAACTTCTAATTTGGACCTTTCAGAGGGTACAGGACTTTCCCTAATTATTTTCTAAATGGATCCTAGCAACCATTAGGCTTTGTTATATGCAACAAAGAAAATGTATATGCAAGCAACTTATTAAGCTGTTGAATATTTTTCCTGATACTTTCTGCTAATACTTAATAATGAGGTCAAACAAAATGAGAGAATTTAGTAATCCTATTTATTTTAAAAGGTTTTTTGTTGAGTCCACTGCTTTTAATTACATCTTTTGTGAGTAAGTATAACTGATTAATAATAAAATCAGCTAATTTCCCAATCCAGTTTTTTACTTTCTGCTC